ATTATTAATTAAATATAGTAGAAGATAAATTAACCTAAAAACTTATAAAAAAAACTTTAAAACTCTAAACATAAGTAATTAAAAGTCTATAAACATACTTAAGCTAAAAGGCAAATATAATATAATTCTAGGCTATAACTAGCTTAGAATGTATAACCCTATAATTAATTAAAAAACTATAACTATAAAAACTCCTAACAACTACGCACACATAACCTAGTTAGCATGCTATAATAACTAATACTTAGTCTATAAATAAGTAAAACAGGGTAGCAGTTACTACTCTAAGAAAAAGAACCTCTAGAAATTCCCTTACTAAAAGCTAAAAGCTTAAGTAATAAAAATAATAAAAAAAAAGCTTAAAAAAGTCTCTTATAAAATAATTAAAAAAAATAAAGATGTAAAATAAATTAGCATTATATAAATTTAAAAAGAAGACTGCATCCTGCCTAAATATAAAGACTATAAGGACATGTTTAAGACACTAGAGGACCCTAAAGAACTACCTCTATACTAGCCTTAGAATTACGCTATTAACTTAATAAAAGATTATAACTTAAAAACACATAAGCTCTGCCCTTTAACTAAGGTACAAAAAAAGGCCTTATAAAAATATGTTAATAAGATGTTAGTATAAGGCTATATTTAAGAAAGCTATAGCCTAGTAGCTTTAGCAGTAGTTTTTACTAAAAAGAAAAAAAAATTTAAGTTTATTAGAACTATAAAACTCTAAATAATAATATAATCTAAAATTAGTTCTTTTTACTAATTATATAAGATATTATAAACTAATTAAAAAGAACCTAGTACTTTATAAAGTTTAACATATAAAATAGATTTAATAAAATAAAAATATATAAAAAAGATAAGTAGCTTATAGCATTTAGAACCTTATAAGGACTTTATAAACTACTAGTAATGCTGTTTAGTTTAATAAATGCCCTAGCAACATTTTAGTAAATTATTAATATAGCTCTTAACTTATACTTTAATATCTTTACTCTAGTGTACTTAGATAACATCTTTATCTATTTAAAAAACACCTTAGAAGACTATGTATAAAAAGTATAAAAAGTTTTAAAATAACTTAGAAAGTATAGACTTTATTTATAGCTCTTTAAGTATAAATTCTATATTAGTAAAACTAAATACTTAGAATTTATAATTAATAGTAAAAAAATAAAAATTAACCTAGCTAAAGTATAAAAGGTGCTTAAGTAGCTAAAACTTATAATAGTTAAAGAAGTAAAAAGATTTCTAGAACTATTAAGCTATATAAGACAGATAATTAAAGACTACTTAAAAATTACTATACTATTAATAAACACTATAACTAAGGAATAGGCTATAGCAAAATTTATCTAGACCTTAAAGATAAATAAAGCATTTATAGCCTTAAAATAAGCTATAATAGCTAAACTAGTACTAAGAATGTACAACCTACAGTTAGATACAAAGATCTATACAGACGCGTCCCTTAGAGCTAGCAGGGCCACGCTGTATTAAAAACAGGAAGACAGGAAGTAGCACCTAGTTGCGTACTACTCTGCTAAGTTCTTAGAACCTAAAGCTAGCTATAGTATACCTAACAAAAAACTAAAGGCTATACTTAATGTAGTAAAAGTTTAGTCTACAGAACTACATAAAATAGTAAAACTATTTAACATTATAACTAACTATGTAAACTTAGTTATGTTTTTAATAGTAAAAAAACTTTTACTAATGCACATAAAATAAGTAATAAAGCTTGCCTAGTTTAACTACATTATTAAGCATGTTTTAGAAACACAGAATTAACAGGCTAACACTCTTAGCTAAAGACTAGACTACTTTAATAAAAAAAAAAAAAACTAAAAAGTTTACACTTTTTAAAAAAACTAATAAAAAATAGATTTATAATAAGCCCTAACTTATAAAGAAATTTTATATACTTATAGCTAGTAAGTAAGGATAAAAGAACTTAGTCTAAGAATACTATAAATCTTTAATATTTAGACACTTTAGAATAGGCACCTTTTAAAAAAAACTAAGGGCTGTAATTTTATAACAAATACTAAAAGTTAAATAGTTATGCACTAAAGTACTTAAAGAATGCAACACCTGTAATAGAAATAACTTATAAAGGCATAAAGCCTATAAATATTTTTAGCTAATTAAAGCACTAAAATTACTATAGATAATAATTATAATAGATTTTATTATAAAACTACCTCTATCTAAAGAACTAGGGACAGACAGGATGTGCAACATAATTATAGTAGCTTTAGATAAAACTACTAAATATCTATATACTTAGCCCTTAGAAAAAATAATAACTGCTAAAAAATTTATTTATAAATTAAAATAAAATATAATATTAGTATATAAATACTCTAAGATTATTATCTTTAACTAAAATAAGCTGTTTACTAGCAGTTTTTAAAAAGCAGTAATAAGGCACTTTAGTATAGCATATAAGCTATTAACAGCTTACTACCTACAGATAAATAGCTAGACTAAAAGAGTAAATACAGAAGTAGAGAGATATTTAAAAAAGTACATCTTTTATACTTAAAATAATTAGGCAGAATAGCTTCTAATAGCGTAATTAGCTATTAATAATATAAAGTTAGCTATAATAAAAGAAACACTATATAAGGCTAATTTTAGATATAACTTTTACTTTACATTATATAAAAATTAACTTACAAACTTATAAAAGTTAATAAATTAGCTAACAGACCTATGTTAGATATATAAAAGGTTAGCTATAGAAGCTAGGTCTAGTAGGGAAATAATAAAAAAGTATATAAATAAATTATAATAACTAAAACTAGATATCTACTTAGAAGACTATATATATCTTAATATAAAAAACCTTAAGACACCTAGACCTTCTAGAAAGTTAGTAGAAAAAAAATAAAACTTTATAAAGTTTTATAGACTTAATAAGATAACTGTAAGCTTAAGCTTCTCTTATATATAAAAATACACTTATAGTTTTATATCTCTAGATTAGAAAAAGCACTTAAGAAAATTCCTTTATCTACCTAAAAATAAAAAAATAAAGAAATAGAATATAAAGTTAAACACATTATAAGTAATTAAAAAAACTAAAAAGAATTTTTAGTAAAATAAAAAAAGTAGCTTACTAGTAAAAATACTTAGAAACTAGCTAAGAATTTAAGAAACACACAGCTATTAGTATAAAAGTACTTTTAGGCTTATCTAAAAAAAACTAGCTAGGCAATAAAGCACTTATATTAAAAGAAATAGCTATGTTATTACTAGATAGCAGCAGCCTTTAAAAACAAGTCTTTGCTAACAACAGTTAAAAGAGAGAATAGCCTTTTACTTTAGCCTTAAAAGCTTCTATTTTGTCTAAAAAAGAAAGGTCCCTTTTTAAATACTTTATGTAATAAGCCTCTAGCAAATTTAGTAATTTCTAGATATAATCTTATCTAGAACGCTCCCTATTTATTGCCTCTAACATTTTCTCTTATAAGTAGAGTTGTTTTTAAACTTAAGCTTATTACTTATCTTATAGCATATAGTCTTAGGCCTGTAAGGCTTTAGCCTTCTAAAGAAGTGTCTTTTTTTTTTCTCTAAATAATTTTATATAGCATTAGAAATAAAAGTGTTACATTTACTATACTTTTTTACACACTTAACACATTTATCTAAAGATAAAGTTAACACATAAAATAACCTAAAAAATTAGTAAGCGCTATAAAGCCTTATCTTTATTTAATAAAAAAAATTAAAATAAAGAGTAATATAAGAATAATAGAATAAATAAGACTAATAAGCTATTTAGTATAGAAAAAATAGATGTTAAGGATGCTTTTTAGCAGGTAGATGCTTACCTTATAAACAAACTCTTACTAACACAGTTGTGTAAGCAGAGTGGTAAGGACGCTGCTAGGGAGAGGGGGCAGCGTGTTATAGTCTATAGTTAGACTAGCGTAACCCCACTAGCAGTGCTCCACAGTCTAGCTAGGTTAGGGCAGGGTTTGCTTAAAGACTAATTAGAGAACGCAGAGGCAGCGCAGCTGCCTAAGATTATAGAAGAATGCACTATCTAATAGGAGGACAGGCTGCAAGTTTAGGGAGCCTAAAGGAGCTTATAAGAGCCCCTCTTAGCAGGCTCCTATAAACTCCTGCTAGCTCCTCTTAGCACCCTAGCACATGTATATAGTTCTTATATTAAACAACCTTTAGAAGGTGTGTTTAATGTTTAGTTTATTTATTACATAGACTAAGTAGCATTTAGCTTTTTAAAGAGCTGTAATACTATTTATATATTTTACACTATATATACCTCTAACTTTGTCTAATAAGGACTGTTTAACCTAGCCTCCCTACTGCCGCATTAAGGGCAAACCACAATCTGGTCACCCTATATCATCCTCTATTAGCCTAATAGCCTGTACGTAGGACTGTACACCCTACCGGATTGGCCCCTACTAGCCGTCCTACTCCCCCCCTAGGAATACCGTAAGACCCGAGTGCTTCCCGAAGCAAGGATTGTAACAACGTCAAACTTCACTAAAATTATATATAATGAGTGTGCTATAGCTACTTTTGAACACTTAGTAACTTCTTAACCTATAAATTACATTCGCATCATCGCCTTCTCGCCTAATTTGCTCAGAGCCTACTGTCATGGCAAAACAATCTCCATTTGCTACCGCGCCACTATTTGGCTTGCACTACTTACAATACACATATAAGGGTCTTACCTAAGCCTTAGAGCCTTATTACAATGATAGGAAATTATTATTAGCCTTGTGTCTGCTATCGCGCGTAAATTCATGCAGGATCGCTACCCCAGCCAGTACCTCTGATCGGAGCGATCACCCATCCTGGCTAGTGCAAATAGTACGTAATCATCGCATTGTAATCTACTCACAGCTGCCAAGCAGACCTGTGGCTGTCACACTTTGTGGCTGTGTAGAGTCTTGGCGAGCAGGCCTGTCTTAGCCCCGCAGCCTGGCAATCCAGTTCAACCTTGACCGTGCCTTCAGTCAACTAACTCAACTCCCCGAGAACACCTACTGACGAACGGTGGTGAGGAGGGAAAAAACTGAAGATTCAACTCTGCAGGTCCTATCAACCCCCCCCTCTTCAGTTAGAAAGATTACATTGGCTTTCGTTTATCACAACCGTAGTGCAACCAAAGAGCATACTAGCCGGAAGTCTATTTGTTATTTGGTAGATCAAGATCTAGTTATAAGCGCCCTTCTTCACTATAGTCGAGTGAGGCCACTGCCATGGATGCTCCGGCCCCCCTTCGCCTTTATCAATATCGGCCCCTCAAGAGCTACACTACGATTCGTGTCCTTGTCCTTCAGCCAGCCAAGGATCTATACGGACTATTAAAAGCACAATTGGTGCACGTGCAGGGCGAGCACCTTCTCCTCGGCCACGGTAGCCCAGATTATTATGAAGTAGTCCCCTACTGTTGGGGCGAACCAAAATTATCGCATGTCCTTCTTGTTAACGAGGACTCGACACTTGGCATTACTAGCAACGCTGACACCTTGCTCCGCCATCTGAGAAGTTCGAGCAAACCTCGGTATTTATGGATCGACGCTATATGTTTGAATAAAGAAGACAGGAACGAGAAACAGATCCAGGTGCAACTCATGGGCAGGATATATGCACAAGCAGCAAAGGCCCGTATTTGGGTCGGCACTGCGACAGAGCATCAACATGTACCTCAGCTGTATAATGCGCTGAAATGGCTGGCTACACTTCTCAAGAACAAGGAAACACCCGCACCTGCTGAGGCGGAAATATTCCTGGAGACCACATGCGGTCTAGACTGGGAACATGCAATGAGCTAATTCTTTGCTCGGCCCTAATTTCTGAGACGGTGGATCCTGCAAGAAGTCGCTCTCGGGCACCACATAACCATCCATTGCGGTCAATGGAAGCTATCATGGCAGTGGTTTATTCAAGGTGTGAAAGGTCTCCAAGGTGCAATCGCTGGGGGTTTGCGCATTGATCTAAAAGCAGATTCCGCTTTGGATACTATCCTGGCCATTGAGAATTCCGACAATTATAAATTACTAGACCTTTTGTGGAGGTTCCACCAGTCGCAATGTTCAGTACCACAAGACAAGATCTTTGCGCTCTACGGGTTAGCACGAGACGTCAAAGAAAAACGGACGTAGATTACTCGAGGCACTGAAGCGACACGTTCACACGCGTCGCGGGCGCGTACTTCGAGGATAGAAAGTCAGTATGGCTTCATCTCGCACATTTCGGGTTATTACCGGAACAGGCCCTGGGGGCCTTCCATATCCTTCCTGGGTACCCAATTGGAATAACAGTCGCAGTTGTGCCACCATTCTGCCCGATAATAGCACCGCATTTTTGAGCTACAACAGCTTCAAGTATGGCAGTTTCTTCTATGACCCAGACTTACGAGAGTAGAATTTAATAACTACTATACAGGTCGCATCGAGAGTATCAGCGCCCTGTGTATGCGCCCCACTCCAGGGTCCAAGCAGCCGGAAGAGATAGTTTGAGACGAAGACAAAATACTTGCTCTTTTAGAAGTCCTCCTGGCCTTCTTTCAGCAGCCAAATAGCTCGCTCACTAAGCAATTCAAGAAAGTCATGCGCATACAAGAAAAGCCATATGACAATGACTTACGATCTCTGAGGGAGACTCTGCTACTGATCTTCCAGGAAGTGGGTCCGTGGAACTGCAAGCCCGCTACTCGATTGCATGCGCCTCTGCGGGCCGCCGTTTCTTCCCTCCTAGATGCTATATGGAATGGGTACGATATTCTTCACGTCCATAGCAAAAGACACGCTATCGGTATTGGCCCTCAAGGTACGCAATCTGGAGATGTCTTGGTGGTTCCACCTCAGGGTCCTACGAAAGTCGCTACGAACTCCGTATACTGGCCCTATAAAGGACATCCGTTATTTGGCATTGTGGTAAGGCCAGTATCAGAGTCTCTTCATCGCACTATACGCACTCAAGAACATATCCAACTAAACCAGAAACTTCACGGTTGCCGATATAGTGGGATTTGCTCCTTTTCTCTTTGGAAGTAGGACTGTGAACAAGAACTGGATAAAATTCGGGTCCAGCTTGTTTAAACTCTATAACAATCGAGCTTGTTGGCATCCTAGTCAAAATTAATTCTAGACAATTTCATTGCTTACTTATTTATGTTCTATTGCTACTGTATTTCTTATTATCTAGCTAATACCTCCGACCAACATATCTCACTTGACTTCCTCTTTTGATTAGTGCCGTATCCTCTGTTTATAAGCAAAATGGCGCTTGGCTCAACTTCGGCTCAGTCGCACCGCCACTGCTCAGGATGCTCACCTTTAACTCACTTTTCTATCCAAACTCAGTTAACCAGTCCCAATTATAGAACATACGGAATATCTAAGGCTATTACCGAAGGCGCGCGCTGGTTTATAGGGGTATTAGATTATTCCTAAGCCGCTCGCTCGCGCGCAGTAGTCGTGCCTAGTTATTGCTGAGCGAAGCGAAGCATACCGAGTATCTGGATCGTACTATTGGTGTACTAGGAGGAGCATTTGTGCTGGAGCTCGATGTCAATGCCTGAGGTCCCCCAACCGTTCCCAAACGAACTGAAACTTGGACCTGAGTTATAGAAGTGAGAGGTATAACGTTATCGGGGGTTTCTTCTCTTTCCGCAGTGGAATCCGGACTCGACGCAATCAACACCCACTCCTTGTTCGGTAAAGTAATGACTAGACTACTAAACACCACAATCAGGCCTCCAAAAGCCATTTCTATATTTCTATGGTCGATGGGCCAAAGTTTGTTATCATCGACTGGGAGTTCTCTGGGTGGTATCCTAGCTATTGGGAGTATTCAAGGGCGCTGTTTGGGTGCGGAGCATGGAAGGATGACTGAAGCTACTGGATCGAGCAAGCCCTGAAGCCGTTTCGATCCGAATATGCCTGGTTACTACTATTTCTCATAGAACTATTTTCGTAAGAGCATGTTCAATTTTGACATCTTGCAGTTATATACATTCTGGTCTCCTTATGTATGAGCCGATGCAGTGGACACACCCGGAGCTGGAAATCAACAACTCAAGATGTTCTACGTTCTACTAGGCCCTCCCAGTCGGTGGGGTTGGTATATATGTACCTAATTGTATTTCCGAAAGACGCCAGCATTTCGAACTCTCGTGCCTTCATAGATCCGAAGCGATATGTAACACCTAGGTGGATAGTCCACCGCATCGCAAATACTTTACAACAAGGTCGCTTTACGCAGCGCCAGTTGGACGCATCGCCTTTTGGAGTCTTCTGGGCCGGCATCGACGCAGATTCCCATCATCAGCGACATGAAACAAATTCGATCGCCCGTGTCACCATATATCTACTTCCATCTTTAGTACTTCTGGTTTCCTTCTCTCTTCACGCGCTGAGCTGGATTATCAAGCGAGTACATTTGCCAGTCCCCTTTGCGAAGGTTTTTGCCGAACTCAACTTCTGGTTTGGAGGAGAAAGAACGGTAATCTATATCATAATCTCTTCTTGCATGTTGTTCCTCGCTATTGTTGATATCCAATTCCATATCGTCGATTTTTTCGGAGGAGGCATCTTGAGGTACAGGCCGGAAATGGAATCTTTGTGCAACTCGCACCTGATGATATGGGGAGCCTACCATTTGCTACCATTATGTCGCACGGGTGGTTCTGGAGGGACCCGCTCGCTGATCATTTGTATATTATTTGAGAGAATTCTAGTACGAATCGGTATGCGTTGTTGTTTTAGTAGCGTCTATGCCATTCAAGCTTTCGTTGCTAGTAGTTCACGCTAGTAGTATCTCATCGGCTATTGCGACGGGTTCAAAGACATCAATATGAATATTTCCAACCCCCATCCTTTGTCGGCAGAAATGGGAGGCTTGGCACATGTGTGTGTGAGGGAAAAGGTTGTAAATTGGCTATCGACGAAGTGTACGAAACGACCTCCTTACATATATACAACTACCTTGTATTCTTAGGTTCGAGAGCGGAAATAGACTTTGGTGGGATCGGTTTTGAGGTAGGAGAACAAGGCTAATGGGTGATAACTGCATTATCCCACATTTCACATACTTCTCTTTACGACGCCCGCGAAGCCGACGCCAGCGAAACGGGTTTGATGGGACCCATAGGATTCAACGATTTACAATTCAAAACTGCTGAGGTTTTGGACAATGCGGCTAATCTAGGGGTGGAGAAGCCCCTCTCTTGCATTAGCCAATAATTCTGATCTAGTTTGTGTGCTTGCGGAGGTTGTGTTGTGAGGAAAAACACACGACATCACGACGAGCACAGGTACAATATCCATCAAATTGCACACTTGACGACTTGAATCTAGATCAGCCAACATAGTGAGGCGGCACATATGATAGAGAAGACAATTTGATATGTTGCAGAAATATTCCTATTGAACTATAAAGCTAATCGCGAAGTATAGAGGGCATATCTGCTGCATGCGCTAGGACTGCTTAAGAATAAGCAGGATTCTAAGAGAATGTCTGAAGGGTGACGCTAAGATCTAAGAAATAGTAAGGTAGCTTGAGAGGCCTTGTTAATAGAAGAGCAAGCTTGATAAGGAGCATTCGAATTGACTTATTTCGCAGCACGTGCTTGTCGTGCATGCCTCGCAGACGGACATGCTAGGAAGGTGGTGAATCAAAGTGGATAGGACAACCCTTAGAATACAATCACCTTTCTCGACTAGTATTAGAAGAGGCGCTCGTAGGTCTGTATGTAGAGCTAACGGCCAACCCAGGCTTGATCTGGTTTACAATCCTCCTTTAAGCTCTCGTATCTCTAGCGTAGGACGAGTTGAGATGTGTAAGCAATCAAGTCTTATTCTAGCCTATAGAGTTGCCAGAATAGACCGTCCACTAACATTTTCAAACATTTATGTCAATTCCCATGACTATTCTGTGACAGGTCCGAACCTCGTTGCTCAAGAAGCTGGCTCTGGGGGGAATGTTCTCACTAGTGGTGATCATTGTGCTTTTCGTTATTATCTGCCTCACTCTTGTCAGTAAACTCACAAAACAACGGAGTCTCACCTGGGCATATATGTGGCGCTCAATCGAGAATAACATTGGCAGTGGCCGGAGTAGGTGATTGAAACAACTATAGGTGCCCAGTTGAATGCAGTTAATTCTTGGCAAGATTTCGGGGCTCTAACTTAGTTCGAAGTTAGTAAGATTGTAAAGAGCCCTCTATCGAATCTACGGTCCAAATCTTGAGTAATGCTTTATATGCCTTCTTTTCGTGCTTTACGGTGTTCACTCCACTTTTTAAAAACCTACGTGGCCGTTAAATATGTGCATGGAATGCTAGATTTGGTACTTCGATTCACAGTCTTGGCACCAAACTTACTTGATTAGGCTTAATTTAACGCCTCAGGCACACCAGCTGGCACCCGGGAATCTACGATTGATCAACTACAGGCGGGTCAACTACCAATGCCAAACACTGAACGTTGGTAGTCTTTCTAGCGACATCAAGGGCATATACTGACGAATCTAGCAATCATCGCTGCCTGTTTAGCGTTCTTTTGCATTCCTTTCACCAACGACCAGTGAGACATACGTCCAACTAATAGTCTACGAGAAGCTTCAAAAAAACGTGCTTCAATGAAAGAAACTGTCAACGAACTCTGAAGACTGTCGTTACTGGAGGTTTTTGCTATAGAAACTAGGACTTGTGTTCCTCATATCAACTTAGCATGGAGGGTAATGCCTCCATCCTTGTTTCGGAGCATTCCATTGTGGAAGGATGAAGACTTTCCAAATGCCAGGTTTCGTGTGGCAGACACTAAATTGACGTTTGGAATTGATCACTACCTGCCTAGTTTAATTTTGCCGACGTTCCCATTGATGACTCGTCTAAACACGATGTACAGGAGAGCTGGCCATTAATTTATCCACTCCACTACGATCTAAGTTGTATTTCTACTTAAGTCCATTCTCCTTCTACATGCCTCTTTCTGCAGCTTTCGCAGGGTCTTAAATCTAATTCTGTGAAAAAATATGCTTCGGACATGACGCTGGCCGATGCGAGTTTCGACCCGACAAGCGCCAAACAAGGGCTAATTTCAGACGTATATTGGCATCCTACTGGCCCTCTCCCTAATTCCAGCAACAGGTCTAACTAATATACACCACCCAAACCATGTTCGGGTGGTGTGAGAATGTAAGGTACTTTGCACCTGCATCTGGGAAAAGATCAAGAACAATGACAGACTGAGGTTAACCGTCACTTCAAGCCACGTGAACTTAAGATGCCGCATAATCCTTTTCGTAGGTTCCTATAATTCTTACAAACAATACCATCTCTCACTATTTACGAGCTCAGTGCACACTCATGCTGTCTATTTGACAAGGTTAGACCGACTTCGACGCGCCGAACCAAAGTCTACATATAAGCCAGTCATAATAGGCCCCTGATGATGTCCGACTTCTTATTTGGATTAGTGGGCCGATAGATCTCGACTAGGTCTGTCAGAGTGCACAGCATATGCACACTAACAGCCCAACTCTAAGTTTTTGAGTGCGGTTCCAAGGAAAACTATGTTTTAATATTCAATTTCCATTGGAAAGATCCCACCTCGATTCTTAGAGTCCACCAATACTAGAAGCTCATGCAGCGAAGCGCTTAGCAATAGTGGCGGTAGTATTTGTGGCAGCACCTGCCACTTGGAAAGCAATGACGCCACCAAATGGGCCAGCACGGTTGGCTATTTCCATTAGTTTTGGTTTCAAATTCAAGTAAGCAGCTTACCATTTGCAATCTTCATGAAGCAGACATTTTGCTGACCAGCGACAGCCCCAGTACAGGAAGTTCCAGCTGGGACTGCGATGTTGATCGGAAAGTCCATGTTCACGTTCGCAGCACGCTTCATCAAGCCCAGAGCTTGCAGGGCGCGAGGAACCTTACCGTTAGCCTTGATATTCCCATTATTTCCAGGCACATCTGGCGCCCTGTCAGAATGCGTTGGAAGTATGTGAAGCGGAATCCTTACCAGTCACGACGTTGGCTTGTATGCCATTGGAGAATTGGCCAGTAGCAGTGGGGTCAATAATTGCTTGGACGGGGCCAGCTCCATCCTGGAGCAATTAGTAAGTTGTGCAACCGTATGGCGTCAATGGGGGTGTGCTTACAGTAGTAACGATGTGAAACGTTCCTGTAATTGATCCATTGCTTGCGCTAACCTGCGGCAGGGTGGAGCCAGACTGAGCTATAGCGGCCGACAGATCAGCAGCCTTATTCTGCCCACCTCCGGTTGTCCTTCCGAGTCCATTAGTTGCGATGTTTGTCTTGCCGAAGACGGTTGTGTCGACTTCTGTGACTCTGTTCCTCCCGGTTCCTGGAACGATGCCACCAGTGATGCCAAGAGCAGTTCCGTTGCCACCAGCATTTCCCTGGACGACGGCAACCTTGCCATGGGCCGCGACAAGAGGCGACGCTGCCAGAGCGCCAATGATGATAGAAAGAAGAAGGGGCATAATGACTGGTGGTAGAAGAAGCAAGGGGTATATTGAAGATTAGGGGTGAAGAAAAAGCAGATGCGCCAGCTCAACGGCGCTGATGGAGATAACCAAGAGAGTGAATTGTAAAGCTAAAAGTAGATAACTGACGAAGCAAGAAAGCAAGTTCTTCGCCGCATACTCACATCTTTATACACGCCAGCCCCGACCCGCCGAATTTCCCGTTAGTCTCTCACGTCAAACATAGATGCAGGCTGCGATACAATCTCTCAACATCGTCACTCGCAAATAGATACCAGGTGAGGCTCGTTCAAGTTTCATGCCCAAGGCCAAGAGACCAAGGTGCGGCGGCTAGGCTCGAGTTGCTCAGTATGTTGTGGACTCTTGATGCTATTTTCCGGCGTTGAAATTGTTTCGCCATGACGATTCGCCGAGCTACAGCACACATCCCAAGCTTTGACAAGCTTTCAAGCTTCGGCTCGCCTGTTCTTGACTTTTGGGGGAGCACGGCAATAACACCATGCACGAAGAAAGGTTCTACATGAAACGATCTTGTTCCATGTTTGCCTGACGAGAATACAAAGACAGGAAAGATATAGATCGCGTGAGAAGATAGTAGGAACGTCGTGGTAAGCGAAGTTCTGCGCTCTTTTAGTCAATATGATGTCAAAAACTCTCCTCATATATCCACAATAGTATTTTCATGAAGAATGATCCCAAAAACTTAATTTTAACCTAAAAAATAGAGTAATTCAGCGCAATAGGGATCTCAAAACATCTTGACGCCACATCTCGTGCTATCCCAATCCGGTAAGCGCTGTCGCTAGTGTTTCGGTTTCAACCCTCATCTCAGCAGCACTCGATCGCTGGTCATCACCACGACCAAATCCAGAGAGTTACAAACTATTCAATTTCTCAACCCATACATACGACATCCATTCAAGTTGAGCAATTGTTGCGTTTCCGAGTCTGGGGTTCCTAAATCAGGAGGCGTACATGCTTAGCCCCGCGCGAAGTGAAACCGGCGAAACGCCCATTCTTCTGATGGTCTAGCAGGTCAGGCAGCTGTGAGACTCTAGAAACGGGACTTGGTATTCATCGTCACATGGATTGGGGGTTTTGAGCCTCTCGCGATATATCGCGCACGATGATGAAGCGTGGTGTTGAGACGGCAGGTGGGTCCTGAGGCTGTGGCGAAGCAGCCAGGTATGTTACAAGGCATTTGCGTTCATGCTGGTATCACGAGATAAGTTATGAGGATCTAATTCTAGCAGATGAGAATATGCGGATGGGAGTTGTCTCGCCCACTGCCATGTTTCGACTCTGGCTTTGACTGCCCCCAAAGCACTGCCGCATTGCTGATATCGTTTGACGGGTGCAATGGTTCCCCAGCTCGGCTTTAGGAAGAGTTTCAGGCATCGACTTCGCCTACGATCGACACCTACCAAACTATCCTTTGCGTGATTTCTGCTGATCCTGTTGTGCGAGCAGCCCAGATGTCACACTTCCTCCTTGAGCTGGTCCACTTTGTGATATCCAAGCAAACAAAGGGAGGGTTTCTATTCTGCAAACAGCAACGCCATATGATGCTAGATCACCCTTATAACCCGGTGTGTTATTACAAATCGTCAGGCCACTCTCTCGTACATTCCATTCTTCGGCAGCCGTGGTAAAACGAACTCCCTTTCGAACGAGATACGTCAGCTACAGCTTGTTCCTTCCTTTCCATTTGAGAGTATTTCTTATCATTCCATGAAACCAAAGGAATCAGCGAGACTCACAATACACAATAAAGTAGTGATGGTGAAGTAGAAAGTGTTGTGGTGTGAGTTAGCAAAGTTCAGAAGTTGTGAGAGGCGATGTAGTTAAAATGGAGGCGAACCCCCAGAATGTGATAAGGTTGAAATTAAGCATAGATGAGTATGCTGATATTGAGTAGAATGGACTAAGTAGCTCGTGTACAGTCTTCGCTACTCATATCCCTTGAAATTATGCTGAACAACAGCTGTAGCTCTGCGAAAGACGCCCTCAATCACCCATGGCTACTGGACACATTCTCTTCGCCCATACCCTTCCATTCAACGCTTTACTGGGCCGTTCTTTCAGGGACCCCGATGCGCTTGCGCTCTATACCAGCTGTTATATCTACGCTTCGCTTCATTGGGCCGACTATATTCATATGTCGTCCAAAGTGAGCCAGCACCCCACGTCTCTCAGATTGATCTTGACTTGGACAGACACAAACGCCGGCCACAACACCCTTCTTCACCTCAAATCTCCTTGTCTAGCTTAAGTTCGGGATACTCGGGCAGTCTCCACCCGCCCTTTTCCTCCCTCGAAAACCTCGTAACAAGCTGCGGGATCCTCAAAAACTCCAGCACGGCCGCAACGAAATGCAACATCGTAATCCCAAACCAAGTCTCCGGATACCCAAGCCTCAACAACGCAGGATTAAACTTCTGTATCTCCTCAACAAACGGCCGGAGCACAGCATCATAATTCTCAAACGCCTTCTGCAGGTCCTCAGGGTGTCTGTTGATCTCGCCAGCCAACACATACGCGCCCACCAACGCACTCGTAGTCCCCATGCCCGTGATCGGCGAGGGACAATGCGCCGCATCGGCGAGCAGCACGACGCGACCTCTCGACCACGTATCCGTGCGAATCTGAACGACTTCTTGACAATAAAAATTCTCTGTCGTCTGCATTCCCTCGATCAACCTGTCTGTCTCCCACCCCCCCTCCGCGGAACTTCTGGGTCCAAAACGCCTTTTGCGTTTCGATCGTCGCTCTAGGCAAACTCCGCAATTCTTCAGAATCCGCATCTGCGTTGACTTTAAGACTAAAATACGCTTGAGTTTCCGTCAGACTGTGTGTTCGACACATGACCATCCGCGACCCGGGGATGTGGTATACCTTCCGGATATTATTGTCGATTTCTGCGCGACGAACGAACCAATAGGCCATATACAATCCCAACCGTTTGATCGGATCCTGTCCCCCATCTCTATCCCCATCCGCCAAAATCGCCCTCCTGATCCGCGAGCCCTGCCCATCAGCCCCAACCAAAACATCAAACCTCTTTATCTTTCCATCCGAAAACTTCACCATCACTCCATCCTCATCTTGTTCAAACCCCTCCACTGCCTTCCCAAACACATACTGCACATTCTCATACCCCCTCGTCGCCTCATACATAACCCTCACAAAATCCCCCCTCATAATCTCATATTCGGATGTCAGACTCTGTGCACCCTTCCCGCTCTTATTCGCTAAAAATGTGGCTTTGACATTACCCCCCGCATCCACCATCGCGACACCGGCTTCGTCAACCAGGTGGGAACGGATGGTGGAGAGGAGACCCATGCGGCGCAGGACTTGGATGCCTTGCGCTCGAATGTCGATTTGAGCTCCGGTGGCGCGGAGGGCGGGATAGCGTTCGATGATTGTAATGTGGTGGTTAGTGCGGGCAAGGAAGAAGGCGAGGGTGGGACCAGCGCATCCGCCGCCGCTGATGAGGATATTGAGGGGCATTATGGAATGGATTGGAGTAGGATGGAAGGAAAGAGGAGAGGGAGCGCGAAGGCTAAAAATGACAATAGTCAATAATAGTTAATGGAAAAATATGGATAGTCAGACGGGGAAACCAAACTCTGGCTTCGATATATCCGCAAAGTACTCTGGTGTACGTACTCTAAGAAGTTTGGTGAGCTCAGTTACCTCACAACCCTACCCGAATACTGAAACCAACACAACCCAAGAGCGTACGTCAAGATGCATTTATATACCCTGTACACTCCGCTTCCTCCGCCTCCGACTCCGACATGTGCGGACCGTCCGTATCTTTCTCCGCCATCTGTTCACGCTATTGGTCGAAATGTAAGGCTAAGAAATGCACTATTGCACCCTTCCCGTTTGCTTCCATTCACGACCATAGATCATGATTAACTACATGGTTATGTCGACTAGCACATAACAAAAACCAATGAAATTAAAACCATTCAATTATGTAGCGGGCGTTATAGTAATCTTAATTTCCAAGGTTCTATTCCCTTGCAAAGTGCATTGAACAACGTCTTTTCACCTAGCCGAACGTCAAACATGATAGAGGGGTAATTCAAGACATAAATGAGGGTCGTATTAATATCTTCTTTAGTTCTACAAGGAGGCGCGGCAGACGGGTTCTACCCTTCTAAAGCGAGCGATTACTCTGCTCTACTCTATGCACCCCTTCCCACCAATTAAATTTCTGGATTCGTTCTCGTGAAAACTTCACTTACAGTAAAGAGCAATAAATCCCCCTTTCCCTCCTGCACTCAACCTCAAATTTGAAGCAAGATCCGCATCCATACTGGCATACCTATACCATATCTAGAAATTAAGGTGTGTGGTAGGGTAAAAACAGACAGATTCCACTGGGAGTTTGGCGGGCGTGAGAGCTTGGTTTCATAGCCAACCAGGCATATCTTTGAGAGGGATGGGCTGTATGGGCATGGGATAGGAGTGAGGGATAGAAGCGAGAGGTGGGGCTTTGAGTGGATTTTTACTTCCTCATTTTGTGTGTACTCAAGGGATTCTTGAAGTGTACCAATGGAGTCTCAGGACTAGAAGAGGATGAATTAACGGATAGCAGCGTGTATGCATCAAGGGTGAATATCTCAGACAGGGGGAGACAAGGATTACGGAAGTTTCCTGTGGGATAAAGGTTGTTGTCTAAAATACTGTTTTGCTAGAAAAAGGAGAAGTAGAGAAGGGCATTAATCATGATCTAATTATTACCGCACCCTGAACTCATTCCTCATGGCCAGGCAATCTCCCAAGTTCCATACATTCTCCATCTCATTCCGCTACTCTTGAAGGTCAACCTCATATTGTAGCTTTCCATCTCATCTCATTGCCATTCATGTCACTTTCATCCTCTACGTAGCCGCTTCAGCATTCCGCTTCGCCGCACTCTCGGCCGTACTCTTCAGCGCCACCGGCGCATCATCCCACGGAATCACCAACTCAACAAACCGCAACTTGTCTGTATCGCCGCTAGAAAATTCCCTATCCATGAACAGCTCCTCAACGCCACGCTTAGAGCTCACTCGATACGTCAGCAACTTATCCTTGGGCGCACCGAACGCAGCGGGAAGAGCCTTGTAGTCCCAAGGCTGGATATCGTTGTATGAGTCCTTCCAGCCGTGGATGTAGCGCTCGATGGTGTAGCCATCATTGCAGATGACGAAGATGATGGGGTTGAGTCTATTGCGGATCATGGTTGAGACTTCTTGTGCGGTGAGTTGGAAGGAGCCGTCGCCGGTGAAGAGAATGGTGCGTTTGATACCCATTTCTTTTGCGGCGAGAGCGGCACCTTGACACGAGCCGGTGGCGTACCCGATGCTACCCCAGAGGACTTGCGAGATCGCCTTGACATCGGCCGGGAAGCGGGTCTCCCAGATACCGAAGTTCGAGGTTCCAGTCTCGGTGATGACAATGTCACCCTCCTTCAGCCACTGTCCAAGACGTGGCCAGAACCAGGCTTGTGTGATTGTGGGCTCTGGGGAAAGCAATTCGACCTCTGGGATTTCGTTGTTGGGATTTGGTCCGTGCTCGATGTTGAGTTTGCCCATCTTCTGGCAGACCTTCTTGAGCACACCATTCATACGCACGCCAGGGTATTCCGAGTACCGAACTTTGACACCGTAGGAATGGAAATCAATGGTGTTGAGTTGTGAGATGCGGTAGGTGAAACCTGCGGTGTTGAAGTCGGACTTGATGGCGCCAATACTAAGGACGAGATCAGCCGATTCAACGCGCTCGCGGACGCCCTTGTTGCTGCCGTCGCCAGCATAGACACCGCCGTAGTTGGGGAAGGTCTCGTTGACGGCACCCTTTCCCATCGGAGCGACAAAAGTGGGGATGCCGGACTTTTCAATGAGCTCGTGGACCTCATCGAGAGCGCGATGACGGATAGCGCAGGCGTCGACGAGAATGATGGGGTTGCGGGCGGCGTGGAGATACTTGAGGACGACGTCAACGACATAATCTTCCTTTTCGGGTTCATTGTCTGGGTAGCTTAGGTTCAGCGGCGTCTTGAGCCTATCTCCGTCGACCTTCTTCTGGACTATATCTGTGGGTAGAGAAATATACACGGGCCGGGACTTTAGCCAGCACTCCCGAATTGCATTGTCGATCAGCACTGCTGCTTCATGAGGGTCATTGAGGAGCGAGACGGCACAGGATATCTGCCTCGACATCCTCGAGAAGACATTGAAGTCGCCGTTTCCGAGAGTGTGGTGCAGGAGCATTCCATCCTTTTGGGCGATTGTAGACGGGTAGCCAACAATGTGAACGATAGGGACATATTCGGAATAAGCACCCGCAATTGCATTGACAGCGGAGAGCTCTCCCACGCCAAAAGTAGTGACGATGGCGGAGATGCCCTTGATGCGCGCATAGCCATCTGCCGCATAGCCTGGAAGTAGATTGTTAGTAAAGGGCTATATAATACCTGGTCAGTCAAAGTGGAACATAACGAGGGTAATTCAGGCCAGAAATTGGCTTCCATTGAATGCACTTCCCGACTCCAGCAAGATGTTGAACAAACAGGTTCCGTTGTGTGATGTTCCACGTTATTGGATAACAGGCTGTAGAGCTATACCGGGGATGTTGTTCCACATTTGGGAGTCGCGATGGAGGGGCAGTGAGGGGTAGCTTGAGCTTCACTTACCAGCATTGAGCTCGTTGCAGTTGCCGACCCAATTGAGGCCGGCCTTGGGGATGTAGTCGAGGGCTACGAGATTGTAGTCGCCGGGCAGGCCGTGTATTGAGCGGACGCCGACCTCGTGCAGTCGTCGGAAGAGGTACTGTCAGGAGCTTAGCTATAGCCCATAGCGCACGCCAATCGAGGGTAGGAAGCTCACCTCGGCGACATCGATTGGATTCTTGAGTTCCTCGGTCCTCAGGTCATGAGCCATGGTGCAATTGGAGGCAAAGTGAAGGTAAGAAGAGAATTAGGAATGTAGAGGGTTGATATATTGGTGATCGCGGTTGGAGGCGGCAGGCTTTATGTGCCCGCAGCAGGGAATGTAATTATGACGGTGATAAGTAAGCTGGTTAGTCACTTGCACACCATCACCCTACATGGCCTGACTGATATTGGAATTTGCATGTCGGAATTGGAACCAGAACACCGCGGCCGACACAGACGCGGGCACGTTGCACGTTGCAAGCGTTTGCAGCCGAATCCAGGGCCAGCCGGGCCGTGGAAGTGTTGGGCCACGGTCGAATGAGAGCATGACCGACTTATGGGGCACAGGATGAGGCACAGATGGAAACGGCATGCAAGATAAATTAGGGAATGACTCAGGACAATTGAACAATAGACGACGTGGAAAGAAAAAGGTTGGTTTCGACAAGCGAATGCGCGGAGGTACCTGCGTCATCAACGGCTTCCTTTGGCGCCAGAAGGGAATGTTTGAGGCGGTGATAGATACCGCCATTGCATATCTTATCTAATCGATCGATCGAACGATGGCGAGGTCGGGACGCTGGGCCTTTAGAAGTGACGTGCGTAGACAGCCCGGAGCGGACAGCCGATAATGGAATATGTGGAAACAGGTTATAACTACAGGACCGGACTTGATGTTCACGAGTGTCCGAAGGATGTGCAACTGCGTTTGCGTCTGTGAGTTTGTCTGTGCGAGAACAGCACCGGTGAGGGTGGCTCGCCGTGGCTTGTGGCGCATTGCTCGGCCACCTTTCCTCCGCGCTGGCCCCATCCCTGCTCTTCTGCAAGTTGTTCTGAGACTGTTCAGGTCGGGTATCGAGCGACAAGACGATAGATCACGTTAGATGTTCAGGATTGGGATCTGGGGGTGAACGACGGGTGCCACGCCGCCGCATGTACCCGTCGCTGGGAGCGACTGCGCTGTGCTCGTGTGCTGTCCCAGCTGGTGGAGGCCCAGCATCCATCCGAGCATCTGCAGCGCAGCATCCAAGCGTGGCCCAAGCGTCCACCGACGCAACGCCGCCTGCCCTCGCCCATCTCACAGCCAGCTCCTCCTAGAGGCAGTCCACCGGCACTCATCAATCGCTCCATCGCAGCCCTCGCCCATCTCTACCCTCCTCCATCTGTTACCTCTTCCCCCCCCCCCTCCCCCGGCGCTCGCAGCATCCGTCCGCTGCTCGCCTCCGCCGTCTTTGTTGCGACCATCTCGTGTGCAAGCGCCCGCCATCCTGCGCAGTGCTTTTTCGAGCTTCTCCGCTTACGCTGCTGCGCTGCTTGAAACGACTGCGCTCCTCCGCACGCATTCTTAGCAACCCTCGTTTCCCCCACGATCCCTCTTGACTACTTGAGCTGTCGTGTGGCCAGGGTGCGCCGTCCACGCGCAGCCCGCCCGCCCCATCCTTTCGATTGAACTCCGTCCACCCGCTCAAGAGTCAGCCTTGCAAAGCGCTGCGAGCCCAGGAACACTCGCTTCTCCTCACACCAGAGGCGCGGTGACAACGGCGACGGTGGAAGCGACTGGTCAGCTTGGACCGCCATGCCGTGGTGCTCATCGCTGTCCTCCGACCACTGAGGAGCTCCCCAAAAGCCCCCCCCCGCCCCCCCGCCCCACGGACCTGAACATGACAATTGGGTCGCGACAGCGCTCCTCATCGAACATATCCAACATATCCAATACCTCCGACCGATCAGGCCGTCGCGGTCCTCCAACCCCCCTCTCCGCTAATCGCTCCAACCTCGGCGTCCCAACCGACCTGCTCTTGAACGACGTCCCCAGCGTCTCCTCGCCCCCCTCATCCCTCCTCATACCCTCCGGCGGCACCAGCTCTCCATACCCGCTACTATCGCCCGGGAGCGCCTCCTACTCGACGAGCCCGCGGGCGAGGGCGCACACCGTTGCGGACCCGAAGCTGGTCCAGAGGCAGCACAGCTACCTGACAAAGCCAAGCATGCATCCGTATCTTCCTCCTCCACCCCCCCAGCCAACGGCCACCCCCTCTTCTCATGGCATGAACCTTCCGCCGCCTCCCCCGAGGCCGACGAACAACATTGGCGCCATCCAACTGCCGCCTCCACCGCAGCAGCAGAGCTATGCCTGGGGAGCTCCACGACAGTACCAACCGCAAGGCTATAACCCAAGCCTCTATCAGGGTTACGAGCGAAACATCCCTCCTCCGCCGGGCCCACCACCACCACAACAAGAGGCACCGCTGACTTCCGCAACATACATCCCCGGCGGGGAATCGTTTGGTCCTGGCGTCGGTATTCCACCGCTTCACACAAGCAGGCAGTACTCAGAACCCGCCTACTACCGGGATGATACCCAGACGTATTCGGCTACCACGGATGGGTCAACTACGAGTTTTCCTACCCCCCAAGAAAATACACAGTATGGCGCTGGTACCGGATACAACATTCCCCCTACTCCAAGCGGGCGTGGAGGGCACCTCAATATCCCTACCGACAGGGCTCAAACCTATGACTCCCCCGGGCCGCCCACGGCCACCCTACATAACCCACAAACCCATGGCAGCATCTACCGGCACACGGAAAGCACCGGCCCGACTCCCATTTCGCCGCATGACGCTAGCGTACAATGGCCTCCCGAGCGTGTCCAGGTGTGGCTGGCCAATAACGGATTTTCTCGAGACTGGCAAGAGACATTCAAGACGTTGGACCTCTATGGCCCACGATTTCTGGAAATCGGTCGTGGCCATGGTGGGAAAGGAAATGTTGCCATGATGCACCAGGTCATCTTTCCGCAATTGGCGAAGCAGTGCACGGCGAGCGGGACTGGTTGGGACCAGAATCGTGAAAGAGATGAGGGCAGGAAGTTGCGCAGACTCGTTCGCGCCATCGTCGAGACCGGAAGCTCAAGCAATGCCCGAATGCCGACACGCTCAGATACCGGTATGACGCTGGCCAGCGCAGGGACAGAAGGTACTCTCGAGAATTCCCCATATCTTGGTGGCAGGATGGATTTCTCAACGCCAACAACCGCTGGGGGTGGCGAAGATAGTCCTGGGCGGCAGATGCCGCTGAACTCACCCGGTTCGACAACTGCGCCTAGGCGAATATCAACACAGCGGAACTTCACGATCCCTGCGCTCGGACCGCCCCCCGACTATAGCGACCCGTCAGGTCGAAGTGCTTATTCTAAAGAAATACTGCGTGACCTCGGATCCTCATCCAAGAAACACAGCCCAAGCGCCTCTGGCGAATTTGGACCCTCGTCTTTCGGCACGACAAATTATCGGGAAGCCATCAGGCAAGCAAGCCCGCAACAAAGCCCTAGGCTGCAGTCTGCCCGCCTCGCAAGCAATGGTCAACTCAGCGCAGGGTTGAGCTCGTCAGCACCACGGTATTACCAACAACACCACCGGGCCAACAGTTCGGAATCAAATCTTTCAACCTTTGCCACCGCCGGATCCATTGCAGGGTCGGGGCCTCCGTCTGGAAGGTCGTTTGATGGCCGCTCCGAAAGCCGTAACGACAGTCGAAGAAACGGATATGATGGCTCACGGCCTGGAACAGGCATGTCCAGGCACGATAGTGCAGAGATTCCTACCAGTGCGAAGGAGGTGCATAAGGGCTTCTTACCCAAGTTCATGCGCAGAGAGAAGAAGAAGGATGACACCCATCCGTCGCCCGATGAATCCAGCATAGACTCTCCTACGAGTCCAGCAAGTCATCGACATCAACCGGCGGGGTCATTCTTTGGTAAACCTGGCATGAACTCAAGTGAGACATCGCTAAATGACCGCCCCCCTTCACGGCGCTCTGCTCAAACTGATACAGAAAGCCGAACAACGGGTCGTGGAAGGGCGTCGACGAGGGACGGAGAACGGAAGTTCGTATTTGTCACTCCGGATGGTTGGAATTACCGCTTGGTCGACGTCTCTAACGCAGACTCTGCTTTGGCGTTGCGAGAAGCAATTTGCGTCGGACTTGGAGTTCCATTTGTACCTGGAATCGAATTGCACCTTACCTCCCCTGGCCAAGCCGACCATGACGAGGCTCTTTCCGACTCGAAGTTGCTAAAAGCTCGATCACAATGGGGAAACCGGTTTGGGGATCTCAAGATCTACCTCACCACACCACCGTCGGTGCCTCCATCTGCCGGACTGGGTGTCATTTTCCCGACATCATCTCGCAGGCCCGTTGATGAGCTCACTTATGCACGCTTGAATGACAACTCCCAGTTGGATTCACCTGATGTGAAATCAGGTGAATCCACACTCGTCCCTGATAAGACTGCGAAGCTGCGTAAGCTTGCTGAGAAGCATGAGCTGACCCCTGAAGCTGTCGCAGAGCGGTTGAATGGCGGAGGCAGGGCACCTGAGCCTTCGTGGAATGTAGGGGACGACTTGCCAGAAGAAGAACGAAAGAAACTACTCGAAGCGGCGGCAGAGCACAAACGAGAGACGCAGCGCAAGCAGGAACAATACCTTCGGAAGCGACAAGACAAGCTAAAGAAAGACTCTCCAGATCCGGGTTCATCCTCGAGGGCTGATATCTCATTCCAGAGTCCTAGTGTCATTGACTTTGATAATCGTCGCGAGTCTCCATACGAGGATAAGAAACACTTCGAAGAGAATAGGAAGAGCAAGCAGTTGGTGCCGCTGCGAGAGCCACCTCCAGTACCGCCCGACTCAAGTACTCTTATTAAAGCCAACTCACTGACGAAGAACAAGAAGGATCGCACGTCGTGGCCTGACGGCGAGGAAGTTGAAGCAAAGAGGCGATCGACAGATTCGGAGCCGGCGAAGCGGAAGGCTATTCCCCAAGGTCCAATGGGTTTGTCTAGCATTGGCGCAGCTATTATAGGAGCCGGTAAGGTCGGTGGGTTGGTTGGAGCCGCGAACGCAGCGCCACCAAAACCTCCACCAAAAGACCCTGCTCGAGAGGTTTCTTCCGAGAACATCCGTCCATCTCAGAGGGTCTTGCAATCAAGCGGGTTTGGGCAGTTATCAGGCTCCGGCAGGAGTAGTCCAGGTGGGTCACCTCGTAGCCCTGGGTCTTTTACTATGAGCAAAGGCAATGTTCCCTTCAAGATTCCTGACTATGAGGAAGATGTGCCCAATGACCTCTCCCTTGAGAGGCCGAGTCTCACACTTAAAATGCCGACTGCGACGAACCCTGCAATCTCCAAACTCAAGGATGAGCAAATTCCGAAAGGGAAATCGCCAGATGTTAGCCCTCATTCAGCGCGACCACCACCATCAAGTCTGTCAAGAGAACCATCGAGGGTGTCTGTGTATGGACCCACGATCGATTTTGAAGAGGCAAGAGTATCGTTCCATTCCAAGTCACCAATGCTGGAGGCTGTCGATTCCGATGACGATTCTGACGAAGGTCTGTTTGCCAAGCCCCTCGCAAAGATTGGTCCACCTACACCTTCGAAAGATGGCTTGTCTACTCCCAGTGACCTTCGCAGTCAACGACCATCGCTCACACTCAAGACGTCGAGGTCTAAGAACTCTCTAGACAAAGTCGCGGACAGGTCAGCTGAACATAGCGCGGCCACAGATGAGACCAAAAACTCGCAGCCTAGCGACTTCCTTCCCGAATCGGCGGCCTCTGCTACCTGGACTGACTCACCCGACGATAACAACAGATTCATGCGCCGCGAGTCATTCGTCAGTGACCTTTGGGCCAATCGTCCTCCAGCGGAAGCACTTGTCGAGCACCTCGACGAGTTCTTCCCCAACGTCAACCTCGATCAGCCTATGCTCGAGGAAGATTTTACCGATACAGATGCATCGACTGAATTGACAGGCGAGTTTTCCAAAGATAGTCGCTCCATTACGCCGATGTCTTCCTTTGAAGATAACAAGAGTACCATCGGCCCAAGTCTAAAACGAGGCGATATCGGATTGCAGTCAATCGCTCAGCGCAACATCCGCAAATCGGGAGTGGGTCTTGGTCGTACCAAGTCTATTCGTGAGGTGGTCAAGTCGCAATACCAACCACTAGACAAGAAGTCGCTGCCTGGCATAGGAGCTGGTCCCTCTCGTGTTGCCACACTCCGAAGCAGCGGTGATATTGTACGTAGAAAGTCGACGAAGATGTTTCACGCAAAGATCGAGCAAGTCAAGCCTCCGCGAGGATCAAGATTGATTCAACTAGAGACAATCCCTCAAGACCACCTGCCTATACCACAGCGTCAGCCAACGTTCAAATGGATGAAGGGTCAGCTTATCGGAAAGGGCACTTTCGGACGCGTCTATCTTGGCATGAACATTACCACTGGTGAGCTGATTGCTGTGAAGCAAGTTGAGGTAAACCCAAAGGCGGCCGGATCCGACAAAGACAAAATCAAGGAACTAGTCAAGAGCTTGGACCAGGAGATTGACACCATGCAACATCTGGATCACCCCAATATTGTGCAGTATCTCGGCTGCGAACGCAAAGAGTTCAGCATCTCCATCTTCCTTGAATATATCTCTGGTGGTTCCGTCGGCTCCTGTCTCCGCAAACACGGCAAATTCGAGGAATCCGTCGTCAGCTCCCTGACTCGACAGACGCTCTGCGGCCTTGCATATCTGCACAGAGAAGGTATTCTGCATCGCGACCTTAAAGCTGACAACATCCTCCTCGATCTGGATGGTACCTGCAAGATCTCCGATTTTGGTATCTCTAAGAAAACTGACAACATCTACGGCAACGATATCACCAACTCGATGCAAGGTTCCGTCTTCTGGATGGCTCCGGAGGTCATTCGATCGCAAGGCCAAGGCTACTCCGCCAAGGTTGATATCTGGTCCCTCGGCTGTGTGGTACTTGAGATGTTTGCGGGAAGGCGGCCGTGGTCGAAGGAAGAAGCCATTGGTGCGATTTACAAGCTGGGCAGCTTGAACCAGGCACCGCCTATTCCAGAAGATGTATCGAGGGTCATTGGAGTTGAGGGTTTGAGTTTTATGTATGACTGCTTCACGATGTGAGTACATTCCCGTCTCCTGTGCCTGTTACAAAGGTTTGCTAATACGTTCGTTTAGTGACCCAGCTGAGCGTCCCACGGCTGAAACACTCTTGCGATCGCCTTTCTGCTTCTCTGATCCGCATTACAATTTCCTAGATACGGAGTTGCATTCAAAGATTCGCGGCGCCTTCTAGTGATCGACTCGAACGCACGACTGGCCACACACAAACACAAATTCATTTTTGGTCCATATCATAATTCCTTTTCCTTCTTCCAGCGACAACCCTTCATCTTCCCCGCGTTAGGCTTGCGAGAAATACAGATACCCGCTCTGGCTGTCTTTTTGATTGATTCCTCATCTCATAAATTTCGAACTGCCTGCATTTGTAAGGCTATCTGCTCACGGCATGACTTTATCAAACTCTTGTTTGAACTCTTGTTTTCAGCGAGGCGTTGTGGATGGGTGGGTCGGTGGGTGCATGGAGATGAGACTTTGTAGGTCTTGAGCTCAGATAGATAGGTGAGGTTTTTTCTGTTATACACTTTTGACTTGGCTGGCTAGGTTGGGGGATTAGGTGATGGGTTTTGTGGGGTTGGATGGATAGGATGATGACGTGGAGCTACAATAGAAGTGGTAAGGGAGTGCCGGGGATGCTGCTGATGGTGATGAACTTCATGCATCATGCTTTGGGTGGTATACGTGTCCATATGTTGGAAGGGTGGTAGATGTAGGTAGCACATGCACGCACATACTACTTGGGTGCAGTGTAGTGTAGTGCAATGTTTAACTTAAGATGATACCATGATGAAATTCTCAGCGTGTGGACTGCATCCTCTACATCTTTCTCATTTTTCCATGCGTAGTGAACAACTAACCGAATATGACTCAGCATGCATGACATACATGCATACATGCCGTGCTTTTGTATGCAGTCCGTTCCGCCTAGGTACTAAACCTTAAGCAGCGTGTAACATGGCAGCCGACACATGACAACCTGAACATAGAAGACACCAACACAGGACTCCTCGTCCCAAAAACCACCCCAAGAATACTAGCAAGAATCGCAACACCTCAGTTCCATTCTGAATACACCCCCTACGAACTAAATACACCATATACCTCCCTACTTTCCTACCATCCCTGCGGTAAATTTAGCCACCCCCTCGGCACCAATGCCCAAAATGCCGCCCAAAACATACCGAGTAACACAAGGAAAACGACATCGCGACTCCTCTCTTGTAGTGATTTTGTCAGCGCTTGGTTGAGAAGTTGTTGGCGCGTTATTCGGTCTTGAAGGTGTGCGATCTCAGTGTCACGGGTAAGGAGGAGGTGCTGGAGGGTGGTGAGGGACGGAGTTGAGGGCTGTGGAGGTGATAAGGATAGGGAGGGGTGTGAGGAAGGGTGTGTATTAGCGTGTGGGTCTTCATCTTGGTCTTCATCCCAATCTTCCCAATCTTCGTCTTCGTCTTCTTCTTCTCCTTCTTCTTCTTCTTCTCCTTCTCCTTCTTCTTCTCCTTCTTCTTTTTCTTCTCCTTCTCCTTCTCCTTCTCCTTCTCCTTCTCCTTCTCCTTCTTCTTCCCCTCCTTCTTTTTCTTCTTCTTCTTCTTCTTTTTCTTCTTCTCCTCCTCCTCCACCTTCTTCACCTTCATCACCCTCCTCATCATCATCATCCTCCTCCTTCTCTTCCTCTTCCTCTTCCTCTTCCTCTTCCTCTTCCTCTCCTCCTCCTTCCTCTCCTTCCTGCTCATACGCTCTCAGCAATTTCATCATAGCCTCCTCCGTCACCCTTGCTACTGCCCTGGAATACTCGATTACAGCAATAGCCTCAGCAACTGAATCGGCATTTTCAGCGGAGCCCTCGATCTGATTTCCCTGCTCTGAAGACCCGGCAAGCTGCAGGAAGGAGGCTTGCCTTTCGGGATGGGCAGCAAGGAGCCTGTGAGTGTTTTCTTGATCGACATCCTCAATGTGCTGGACGCGGGAGAATGAGGGGTGTGATGCAGGTGGAGATAGGGATGGAGGCGCTGATGGGCCCGGAACAGCGGCGATATCTTCGATGTATTCGACGCTGGGTCCAGGGGAGGTAGGCGCTCGAAATGGCGGTGGCTGTGTGGGTGGAGATGGCCTCCCAATGTCCTCGATGTGTTGGACATTACTCGATGGTCCTGGCCTTGCGGAGGGAAATTCAGCTGGGTGGATGAGGGACATGTCCTCGATGTGCTGGACGTTGCTCGCTGGTGGCCCAACCCGCCTTCCTTGATATCCCTCATACCACCCCCTATACACAGCAGCAGGTGGCGGCGGCGCAAGAAACACTTGATTGTCTGGTAATACCAGCGGCGAGATGTTCGGTGTAGCGACACCGCCCTGGGTCCTGAATTTTAGACTCGCAGATGGAGGCGGAGGCGCAAGATATATCGAACTCTCTGGTAACAGGAGTGGCGAGATGTTGGGCGTTGCTAGTGGCGCTGGGGTCGGGGAGGAGATGTAGGAGTAGTCTGAGATGTTGATGAGGGGGTTTGGGGATGTTGGTGGAGGGGGAGGGGAAAGTGGAGGGCGGCGCGCTGGGTTGGGGGTTTGCGGGTGGGAGCGTGTCATTCTGGGTTGATGGAATGAGGTAGGATGGGGGTGGTGCTTGTGACGGATGGCTTTGATAGTTGTGGTAGCTTTGATGGCCGTAGTGTCTTCGATGATTTTGGTGTGGGTTTACTTCTTTTGGTGTGGTTCTGATAGGTTTGATAGATGTGCTGTGGTCGATGTCGTGTGGATGCGGAAGTGGTGAAAAGCGATGAACGGTAAAATTTATAGGAAAGAGAAATGGAAAATGTGCGGATGCGAAGAGGACAGATAAATATTTCCACTTACCCCAATACTCAAAATCTTTGTGGATGGGTGGGTATGAGTTCCAAGGTTGCAAGTTGGCCGCATCTCCTACCTAGGTAATGTTATGGAATTTTTGGTCATCGTGGCGGTTGACAGGGTGGGGACCATAGAATGGAGGTTGCATTTGCGGATATGATGAGTGACGAGAATGTTTAGATAATAATGAGCACATCGTTCAGAAGTGAAGAGACCTAGATATCGAAGTCTAGTGGTCGGTGTGTTGGCAGGATGGGAATCACGGGACCAAAAGTCGGATATTTACATTTGATGAGAATGAAGAGAGAAATACATATTGAAAAAATAAACCAGTGTTTTTGTTCACAAAGGGAAATAGTTTTGGAGATGAAATTAGTGTATACTTAGGAAATTGGCTTTTCAGTGCTTTTAGATTCCAGTCATCGCGTTGGGGCAAAATGTAAAGCGATGATGATATTTTGCGTAATGTAGATGGCGGCTTGGTGTGATGGGTCTTAGTTAGAACCATGGATCGAACGAATACTATCACCACATCGAATATTGCATTACAAGTGACTCGAAGTACTACCCACATGAGTGTAAAAGAAACAATAACAACCGAGCACGCGCCTCCGCCGTGGCGCACGCTCAGCGTCTTCAATGTCGCTCCCTAACACATGTGGCGCAGGGCGGGTGGAAATGTCACCGGTCTGACAAGACAATGGCTTGCAGGGGTTTGGTGAAACGTAACAGCTGAATAACAGAGGCTTTGGAAGTTGCCGGAAGAAGTGGAAAAAGGTGGATTACTGGGTATTGTTCTTCCAAGGTTGCTTCCCAGGTTGTGCCACGTGGTGATAATTTGGGGGCAGTTTGGAGTCGAGGATGTAGGAATGGACTTTGTTGGATAGCTAAGAGAGGCTGGTGGGCGGTTAAAGCTTGGGATTTCGTCTGGTTGCTGCGTTCACAGCCGCCGCAGAATCGCTTAAATGGTAAGTCTGTGTTGAGAGCGTTCACAATCCCTTACAAATAAACTGTCGTTCCAAGTATAAAAATATTCACAATTAGGACGTTCACAAGGCGTTGCTCGGATTAATAGTTCGAGTCACAAACACATTTGGGGAGTAAAGGAAGCATGAAACCGTTTATGCGGTGGAATGGACAATGGAGAGCTGATACCGAAGTACAAAGCAGTTTCCTCTCGCCATTACCCGTATTCAGTAAATTCGTGCCGTTTTTAAACATAGCCTACAAGGGACGCGGCAAATACGAGCAGGCGCAAGAGCGATGAAAAGGGGAGAATTCAAAGGCGCATGTAAATATCAGGTGAGAGAGAGGACTTTGGACTCGGCGTAGGTACGTAGGTACGGGCAGGTGGTGATTCATTGTGGAGGTACACGGCGGAGATTCGAGGAATGGATGCCCTACTTTCACACGTGAGATAATATTTGACGGAGGCTGACATTTCTGGTAGGACAGAGTGTGTACAAGTGTGGCTGTGAACCGCGAGTCGGAGGTCAGGGAACTGAGAAGCTACAACATCCATTTTTTCCCGCGGGAAAAGCTCTCTTGCCCGAGTTTCCACATGAAGTCCCTCAAAACCCACTGAAAACAACATTTTCTATATTCAATAGGAGCAGGAAAAGATGCTACGAACGATTAAGGCGTCTTGTCAGGGCGGACACGGACAACAACGCTGAAAAAGCGCGCCGGGTCCCGAATGCTACTCCAAGCGATGAAACATGCGGAGGACGGGCGGAATTAGGATGTTCATGGTCCCTGGCTGGGAGCGGTGGATGCAGGAGGACAGATTGGTGATACAGCACTCGTAATCGAACGCTCCACGCTGAAAGCATCCCAACGACGAAGGTGTTGTGAGCTTTCAGATAAAGGTGGATATGCGCTAAGCTGCAGCATTCAGAAGCTGTTCAACGATGACGAAATGGATGGTCGTATCTCGCGTTCTTTCCTCCCGCTGCTCGCTTCGTTCTCTGCTGCTCAGCCTTCCTGTAATTAAAAGTTTCCGAAGCTGACGGGCGGAGGAGTCCGCCCTCACCCAGCGAAAACCAGCGAAGCCAGCGGGTTGCTTTCGGGCCACCAAAGCCGTTTGTCACAGGATGCATGTTGGCGGAATCCAGCGGCGATCTAAAAATTCGCGACCTGCGAAGTGTCCCATGCTACCCATGCCCGTTCTCCGCCTCGGTCTTTTTGCCCTTAACATATGTACTTCGCAATACTCCTGTCTCGTCTCCAGTTGAATTAATTTGCTAAGCAGTGCGTCAGACTGGTGTACGCGTTCATATGCACACTACAGCGGTGGAGCGTTTCTGGCGCGAAGCCTCTCCAGGCGCTGGGTTGGAAGCCAGCTTGGTCTGCCACGGCGTCTGCTAGGCCCCAAACTAGCAGAAGAAGCCACCAGAGGGTTCACCATCAGGCTTAACTCAGGGGTACGGTGGCTTGCAGGTCGATGGTGTTTGCTTGTTTCGGATCAACAGGGGCACGCCCTCCACCGCCCATGGCTGACTCCATCCAATTACAGCCGCGGTTATTGCCAGAGGACGCACATCTGCGCAAGCTCCACCGTCCGTTGTCCAAAAGGGCTCCCCGTGGAGTCAGTCCAATCATATTTGGGTTCGCCAGAAATAACTGCTGGTATATGACCCTGTCCAGCTGCCCCTGCCCAACAATTGCCCACCCTCCCAATTCTCCACCACCTTGACGTCGGGGTTTCTTTTGCAGACCTCAATTGTCTTTTTCAAAGACGGAGGACCCTTCCGAAGTCGTTACACTCTTTTAATATTGCTTCGCTTGTAATTGACTCGTCTTTCTTTTTTTTTTTAAAGGGTTTTCAAAGTCTCAATCTTTTGGCTTTGGCCCATCCAGTCGTTCACAGAATACCTTTCCCAACACGCCATTGACAGCCATGGCCGGCTACAGCAAACCAAGAGGTGTTCTTACCACCCTCTTCGCCGTCTTCCTCTTCTTCCACGCTGCTGTTGCCGTACAGCATGCCGCTCACCACCATGTCCACCGCTCCCCCCAGGCCATGGAGGCTCATCTCGACGAAACGAAGAAGTTACTGGCTGAGCGCGCTAATAATATTGCTATTACTGGTGTTACAGGCACTATCTCCCCGCGTCTGGAGATTCGCGACCTGAAGAAGAACGCAGACCAGTGGAATCTGTATCTTCTCGGCTTGGAGAGGTTCTACGCCAAGGACAAGGGCGACAGATTGTCATACTACCAGATTGCGGGTGTGTGACCTCGGTTGATTGTCGCAATTATCGCAGGCTAATGGTTTCAAGGTGTTCACGGACGTCCTTACGTTACATGGAACAACTTCCCCACTCCGTTGGTAAACACTGCTGGTTTCTGTCCCCACGGTCAGACTCTGTTCGGTTCATGGCACAGGCCGTATCTTGCTATCTTCGAGGTATGAAGGAATGGATATTCAAGGTAGATTCGAGAAACTGATAGCCGCGCAGCAAGCCTGGTACCAATGCGTTCAGGAAGTTATCGCTACGTTCCCATCTGGCGAACAAACCCGCTGGAAAAACGCCGCCTCTACCCTTCGTATGCCGTACTGGGACTGGGCCAAGGCTCCCCCGTCGGGCGAAATGAGCACCCCTACCCTGATGCGTGACAAGACTGTTACCGTCACTAAGCCCTCTGGTACTGTTTCTATCGCCAATCCTCTCTACTCGTACTCTTGGGGTAGCTCTCTCCCGGGAGATTTGGGCGGAGGTCCATGGGACAACTTCCCCTCCACGCTTCGTCGTCCAGTGTCCAACCCCACGCGCAGCAACAACAACGAGGTCGCTTCCCGCATGGCTAGCCTCCGTCTCTCCCTCCGGGACCGTGTCTATGGCCTTTTCATGAGCGGTGGATCATGGGGCGATCTCAGCACGTCTTCCATTGGTGTCCGCACTTCCCAGAACGGCAACAACCCCGACAGCTTCGAGTCCGTCCACGATGCGGTTCACGTTACAGTTGGTGGTGAAACTGGTGGCCATATGTACTATCTTGATTACTCTTCGTTCGACCCTGCTTTCTGGCTCCACCACTTGTAAGTACGAATTATATGTCTTAATTGCTAAGCATTAACACGTTGTAGCAACATTGACCGCTTGCTTGCCATGTACCAGGTCGTGTCCCCCAACACCTACGTCAGCAACGGAAATATCAACCGCCCCATGGCCCAATGGAACGCGGGAGAGGCCAAGAACTCGAATACGCCCCTGAAGCCCTTCACTAAGAACACCAATGGCGACTACTTCACCAGCAACGATGTTAAGAACACCCGCGTTCTTGGCTACTACTATCCCGAGACTGCTGGATCGCCTACTGAATCCTCAGTGAAGAGCGCCGTCAACAACCTCTACGGTCCTGGAGCCCCCACCAACAACAAGAAACGAGCCGCTAGCGGACAGTACGAAGGTCGTCCATTCCGTGATGGTGACTACAACACTGTGCTCTCCATTATTGCTAGCAAGTTTATTATGGATGGCTCTTATTCAGTCCACTGCTGGCTCGGAAACGGCAATTCGACTTCCAACTCGACTGCTCCATATACAAACTCCACCTTGAACACTGAGTCGCCCGACTATGTTGGTGCATACAGCGTAATGGGTGGAAGCAAGGGCGATGGCGGCAATGGTTCCTATCCCGTCATGACCGAGGGCTGCCTCCCACTGACCACTGCGCTCCAAGGCAAGCAGGCATACGGCGAGCTGAAGTCTCTCGGTCCCGATGACGTCGAGGCCTACCTCAAGAAAAACCTGCACTACAAAGTTATTGGCCCCGGAGGCGCTGAGATTCCGGCAGAGAACGTCCCTGGCCTCCACGTCTACGTCAAGACCTGCCCCATCACCCCAGCCAAGGGTCCCAGCGAGCTCCCATCGCTAGGCGATTACATTGTGCTTCCCAAGGTCACGTATGACAAGCCTGCTGGCAAGCCGTACACCTACACTCCTTCCCCAGCGGAGACCTCGCCTCCTTACCCAACTGGCACCATGGTCTTCCCAACCCACCCTGCTGATGAGCCAGGATACTGCGTCAGTCATCAGAAGGTTGAGTATGTGGATCCGGCAGGCAACTACTTGTATTCCGAGTAGGTGAAATTCCGTCACATTTTGCAACATTTCGAGAAATCCAGCTTGAAGGGTAGAGTGAAGAAGTAGGAGGCGATGTGTGTGAATGAGAGTAAAGTGTACATGCCATCTAGCTTGGGCCCCTGATCTCTTTTAATAGAAACGAACCCTGATATTTTGTCTGGTCTGGTTTCGGGAGGGTTTTCACACTTTGTTTATACAGGAACTATGGATTCTTACCATGGCTTGGCTATTGGGGCATTAAAGTGGCGTTGATACCTTTTTTATACACTCGTGATTTGTGTCTAGTCGTACTTTTTCCATTTCTGTGGTTCCTGGTGGTTCTAGATGCCCCGGTAATTGGCGCTCGTGTCTAGTCGCACGTATGTATGGTTCCTGCACGACAGACAACACAGATGTCTCAGTCGCCCACGGTACACTGCGCAACAATAGCCTTGAACTACTGGGGAACCACATGGTTCTGTTCTATTGTTTCTGCGCAACCACACTTTCAGCCCCAAACTATGCTCAGGGTTGCAACGTCGAAAATAGAATTCTGGTGGAGTGCACCTCGCACAGTGATTCCTGAAACAGTGCACGGGATATTGATTCGCTACCGGGGTTTTAGCCCACGCTAAATTGAACTTCAATTTCGACTTCAGCGTCAACACTCTTCTCCGATTCTTCTAGCTCTTTGATGATGGGAAGAATTATCTTTCTTACGGAAAGAGCGTTATTGCGCAAAGCCCAAGAGAGCGAATATACTGAAAACGGCATGTCTTATACTTACAATGGTTCAATGACCATATCATTACTAATGGGGGGCTACGGAGACTTCAAGACTGACTAGGATGGATATGAACTTCCTGGCCTCTGCACCATATGATTTACAGGACTCTCCGGGGTTGGGGTCCAGGGACTGGGCTTTGAATTATATAATAGTCTTTGGAGCCCTGTTTCTGTCTCATCAACTTCATTTCATTCTTCTTGTCTATTCGATTTCCCTTCCGCCCCCTCCCGTCAATCATTGTTTAAATCCAGTCATTTCATTTACCAACCCTTTTTCATCAACATGTTCCCACCCATAGTCCTCCTCTTCTTCACCCTATCCTTATCCACGCTCATCTTCGCCGAAACAATCGATTACAAAAACCTCAAAACTCCCGCTGGCGACAAGCTCCCCAATTTCAGTTTCGCCGGATATCACCAATCTGAAATTCCCCTTCCGGCGCTCACCACGCCCGCAAATAAAACTTTGAGTCCTGGGTCTGGAGATCAAGCCCCTGTTATCCAAGCCGCGCTCGACAGCGTGAAGGATTCCGGTGGTGGGGTCGTAGAGCTGAAGGCCGGCACCTATGCATTGTCTTCTGGATTACTAATACATAGCCAAACGACGTTACGAGGGGCGGGTATCGGGAAGACGGTTTTGACAGTGAAGAATCTAGAGGACAATGTTGTTACGTTAGGGAAGCAAACCAATGGCGCGAAGAGAGGGGATAGTGTGAAGATTACGGATACCTATGTTCCTGCGGGCACTAGCACCGTGCATGTTAGTGATGCAAGCAGGTTTAAGGTTGGACAGGAGGTTTTTATCGAGAGGGGTGTTACGCAGATGTGGATTGATGAAATGGGTATGACGCCTCATACCAAATGGTTACCGGTAAGCCATCATTCTTTTTTTTCACCTCCTCCTCCGCATATCATGGAAGATGATATAACATGGTATCAATGAAAACCGTCTGCTCTCACAACCCCTCATTTGTACTGAGGTCAATCTTGGCTTTTCCATAAACCCGGTATGGTCGCCCAAAAACAACCCTGGCGCGTCGTGGGGACGGGAAGATGAAACATCGCAATTTTACACCCATATGAGCCCGCTCAATACTCTTCATTTTCATTACTACTAACAGTAATATCTCTTAAATTGCAACACATCCGATCTACCGGCCCGGTCCTCTCAATCCCAACCCCATTTAATGCAATCTCAACTAACCATTACCACCAGCCTGGCACCCTCGTACCCCAACCCCGCCTCATAGCCAGCATATCCGGCAAAGCCATCTCCTTCACCATCCCCCTCACTGATTCCCTAAACGCTACAAACAGTATCATGACGCCCATCCAACTAACCCCGTACGTCCCTCCCACTCAGCCCTCCGAAATTGGTATCGAAAATCTCAGCATGCGCGTCTCTCCCAGCTGCTCTGGCATCGCGCTCGGAAACACCACCTGTTCAGCCTCTGCTGTGCGGGTTTCGTCATGGACATCTGACTCCTGGGTCCGGAATCTCGATCTCACAGGCTTTAATAATCATATTACTACAGGGCAGTATAGCGCGCGCATCACCATCACAAACATAACCATGAACCGCAACGGCGCCACCGACAACTCCGCCGGCTATGCTCTCGACATCGCGATCGACGGAACCCAAACGCTCATCCACAATTGCAAAACTCTAGGCGCGAAAGATGCGAAGAGTTTCGGTGTTGCGACACAGAGTCTCACGCCAGGACCGAATGCGTGTATAGGGTATGAGGCCCAGCAAGCAGTAGAAAGCGTGGAACCGCATCAGCGGTGGGCGCATGGGTTTTTGAATGAAGGGAGTAAGGTGGCGGCGGTATTATTGAGGAATAGGGGAGCTGCGGGGAGTGGGCATGGCTGGACCGTTAATAATGGTATGTGTACACCCTCGCTCCCTGATTCATGTTCTGCGTTCCCATTCTCCCTTCCTCTTTCTCCTCCCTAGCTTCCCTGATCGCTTTCTCCCTCCACACTTCTCCCTCCCTCTTCCCCACCGGCTTCCTCGATTTCACGACTAACATACACCCTACTATAGCTGTATCATACAACACAAATGCATCAGCGTATACAATTCAAAACCCGCCGCTAGGTCAGAATTATTGTATAGGTTGTGTGGGACCCAAAGATTCAAAACAGGTGAATAATGGGACATTTTTGTCGTATGGCAAGTTCGTGGACCCGCCGAGTTTGTTTGAGGCGCAGTTGAAGGATCGGGGGTTTGATTTTAAGATATGATCTGCGACGTATGTACAAGAACTGGGAAGGGAAATTGCAGTAGATATTGGGTCTAGGGAGGGGAAAGAAGAAGGAAGATGTAGAGGTGAGGTAGAGGAGATGAGATAGGAAGAGGTGGATTGGATTCTAGATGCTAGTCTAGACTCGAGCAAGTACAGATTGTCTGAGACATACGTGTAATGCCCTGTCCGAACAGCAGATATCCACGTCCACCCGACGAGATACAGACTTAGGCTCCTGCCAGCCCCTCTTGTGTCCTCGCTCCCTCCTCTAAAATCCCAACCACAACATCCATAATCTTCCCGCCCTTGATCGCCTCATGGATGACGCTGACCCAATGTCCGACCGTCTTCTTCCGCCACTCATCGCCCCCTCCCTCCCCGTTGACAATTGGGATACCCGGTACGGAAGGAGCAGAGACAGGATGGTCGGCAACACCCCTATGCATTGGGACTCTCAAATCTTTCCTCACGAACGTATACAGCTGCTTTGAAGCACGTCCAAGCAGTGGCGTTGCGTCCCCATTCACAAAGTACTCTTCGCGAACTGAGTTGAAAAGTGTAGTCGCAAAAGCAGCCGCGTTCGTGCTGAATTCCACCAATGTTTGCAAATCGACATCTGTGCCCTCATCTTTTTTCAGAGCAGCGAAGTCTCCAACTAACTCCCCATATACCCCATCCATGATCTTCTCAAAGCGGGGTTTGGTGTCCATGGTAGTAGTTTTGGGCATCTCGTTAGCGATATATAAACACACAATCCTCGTCACCCTGTAACATGATTTGGCATCTAAGGTCTTGAAGACTGGTGAAATAACCGCCGGCCTTAATTCCGCTACCAACTTATCTTGAAATATCTTCGCCATGGCCCGTAAATCAAGCGCTTGGCAGATTGCATATAAACTCGTCGCACACATTAGCGAGAGGATGTCCACAGCTGTGTCAGTATATCGTGCGCTTATCAGAGCGAGAGAGTTCAGTGCTTGGTTGCCCATCTCCGCGCTAACGACGTGGTTATGCACGGGATTTCCCAGAAATGAGAGTTCAGACATATAGCTTGCCATTGCCACATCAAGTCCCTTCATCGTGAAACTAGTGCTTGGGTCGTCCGCACATAGAGAAGGCGGTAAGCCGCGGTTTGTGGCTGGATTTAGCAACTCAGTGAATTGTGCGAAGAGCATCCGACCAATAGCCTGTGCAGCGAGACGCGATTTTTCCATGGCGGAGGTTACGGATACGGCTTGGAAGTTCCCGCCGTGGTAGATATTGCCGGGTTCGGGGTCTAGGAGCGGGTTGTCTGTTGTGCTGTTCAGTTCGATGGAGAGCTGTTGGTGGGCGAGGAGCAAGTCTTCGATAAAGGGGCCTAGCCATTGCGGGACAGTGCGGAGTGAATAGCGGTCCTGGAATAGGCCATGTGTAGATGTGGGATGTTGCTCGAAAAGCGGCTCGGCGAGCTTCGAGCCTGCTAGAGCTGATAGTATGGTGCTTGCTACTTCTGCTTGGCCTGGATGTGGACGAATGGCAGAGATGAAAGGGGCGAAGGAGGTCGAAGTACCGAGCTTAGCCTCTACGTTCATTGCAGCCAGAAGTTGGCTTAAGGAGAGGAGGTTATGGATTGAGTGAAGGGTCAAGGTTGCAACTGCACAAGAAACAGCTGTTCCGTTTACAAGGCCAAGGCCTTCTTTTGGGCCGAAGACGGTTGGTAGCAAGTTTATTGATGCGAGAGCTTCGGTAGCAGGAACCAGGTACCGAGAATGGGGAGGCCCAACCCAGCAGTAGATGCCTGGGTTTCCTTCAAGGGCCCCTGCGATGTAGGAGAGAGGAGAGAGGTCTCCAGATGCTGATATACTGCCCCGGAGCGGGATAAGGGGGGTAATATTATGTTTCAGTAGGGCTAGCAGGGAGCGGACTATTTGAGGTCGAACCGCCGAATGGCCTCTGGCTAGGGAATTGGCGCGAATGAGAATTGCTGCTCGGACCCATTCTTCTTTAAGAGACATAGAAAAAGGTTCGCCGCTGCCGACCGGTGCTGGGAGTACGCCACAATGGAGATGTTGCAGAAGAGCGCGCTGAAGTGTGCGCATATCATAGGCACTGCAGCGCACATCTGCACTCCCGCCGTATCCTGTGTTGACACCTGGAGAATTGCATTAGCTTGAAGGCCAACCGATTGCACTATGGAACATACCATAGACCGTTTCGCCTTGATTCAATTGTTCATCCAAGAGATCAACACTCTTCTCGATCCGCTTCAGCACCGTCTCGTCGCTCGTCAGAGCTCCTTCGATGCCATATCTAGCGACTGCCGTGACGTCTACCAGGCCTAGAGCTTCACCATCAACGACGAGGGGCGCGGGAAGTAGACGATGGTCTAAAAGCCTCCTCCATCCCGCGCAGACGAGGGAAGAATGTGGAAGCCTATTGGGTTTGGTTTCTTTTCCAGGCATTGTGGTCTGAATGTGGAATAAAATATGCGGCTTGGTGTGGTGGACAGGAGGTAGAGGTATTCGGGAGACTTCGCTAAAGTTTTTTCGGTCCGATCATGCAGGAAAGGCGGTGAGAATCGTAAAATGCTGAATCTCAACATTGATCCTGTAATGCTGAGATATGTAGTAGCTTCGTGGAACGCTAGCAGTCGGGCATTGAGATAGGCACCCGAAGCGACATTTGAATTTGCGCAACGCAAACTCTACGTGTGCGGCCGAGATGAGAGTAGGAAAGAGCAACTGGCCTAGCCTACCACCGTCCGTATGAAAACAATGCTCATGGGCGATCCATGTGTCGCTTTGCATCCTAGTGGTTTGATGTTTTTGCGACGATGAGAGGATAGTGCGACGACACATATATTGCGTGGATGACGCGTGTCTGCAAGGTACTTGTGCGGCTACTACTGCGCCTTCTCACCTAATGTGGAACACCATTAGGATATAATCTATCTGTCCAACCTCTTGCTAGATTTAGGGGGTGCTCGAACAGGATCCAAGTTCCGGTCCTGGATTACCCTGTCCTGTTCGAAGGTAGGTGGTAGGAGGTATACCGGTGCCGAGAGTTCTTGAACTTGAAAGTAATCTGCAACGTAACCCATCATGAGGGCAATGCACGTAACAGAGAGAAAATAGGACAGGAGTAATGAATAGGGGGCGTGGAAAATGAACATGTAATGGAGAAAGATTGGTTAATAAGGGGTAAGGTTGTCGCTTTCATGCCACAGTTGCACCTACCTGCGCTAGACTACCGCACCTAGCGTGAGACTATAAGTGTCCTCCTGCCCAACTCTTTATTGACGGCTAGAGCAAGAGAGCCGTGGGTGTTGAAGGAAGGTAGATGTGAAGTCAAAGCTGCGGCTTGGTCTCCTTGCCAAGACATTCACTTCGGCTTCAGAAATCGGCAATTGGATGATTAGGTAATGTGTATAGACTATGAATGTCTTCAAGCGTTGTCATGCGCCAGCCATGAGAACCATATATTCAAGTAGATCCGTCGCTCTACGTCTTGATATGCAACCGTAAATTCTCGTCCAACAAACGCCAATGCTATGCAGAGAGTAGCCGTCTAGTCAGCGTGAACCCATGCGTGATCTATCACATCATCATTCCTAACTCGCAAGGCCGTCGCTGCATGCGAACATGATATCTATTTCTTCTTCTTCCCAGCCTTTTTTGATGCACCACCACCAGACTTCGTAACCGAGATGGGTGCTGCGTGTCCCAGGTCCTTAATATGCTGGAAGAGCTGAGTCTTAGAAGGGAATGCTGAATTGCAAACTACGCATTTGTGCTTCAGTTCTGGTTGGTCGAGCCCAGCTAGCTTAGCTGCCTTCCTCGCCTTCTTTTGCTTTGCTTTTCCCAACTTCGGCACAGCGGGTTCGGAATCCGGAATCAGCTCGCTATCAGGGGTTTCTGTACCTATATCTGTAGTCGGATTAATTTTGAATCCAGCTAGTCTTGCCTCGATATCGGAACGTGAAGCGTATTCGTCGTCCTCATCAGATGAGGCTGTATCAGGGGATGTAGGGGCTTTGGGTTGTGGGTCAGGTACTCCGTCGTCGGACTCCCGATTATCTGGCTCTTCGGCATCCATTTTAACTTCCTCTTCGTCCTTCTCCCGAGCTTCCATATTCTCCACGCCCTCAGTAAACTCACCAATAGAACCATCCAGTCCGCTAGCCGCCTCACCATCTCCTAAGACTTCGTCCTCGGACACGGGCGTCATCATTCCGCTGCTTGGAATGTCACCATCGAGGTTGAGATAAGCATTCTCCTTCTGCATCTTCCTCTTGAGCGTCTGAACGGCCTTCTGGTGCTTCTTGCTCTTCTCATGCGCTTCCCACTGTCGCTCACTCTTGAACATCTTGTGGCAAGCTACACACTCGTAGTGTTCCTCCTCAACCTCCTCTTCCTCTTCCTCCTCCTCTTCCAGATCCCTTGCAACGGCCCAAGCTGGAACTGCTTCTTGCGTCTTAGCTGCATGCGCTGCCATTGCCCGTGCGGCTTGTGCCTTGGTGGCTGCCCGTTGCGCCTTGGCACGCTCCTCCTCTGTCTGTGTACTCGGAGTATAACGCGGGTCTCGCTTCCGAACAAAGTGCAGGAGGGCCCTAACGGCATCGTTGAATTGCCGTCTGCCTTCCTCGCGGAATTTGTTGTTCTCCTTTTCCATGAGCCGGCGCACGCGGCGGTCTGGGGCATCGGATACCCGGTAGACGTCCATCCAGGCAAACGCCTTCTTGGTAGCAAAGCCGTTCCAAGCGGTGTAGAAAGTCTTGACCACATCCTCGTACATGTCGTCTTTGTGGCCGAAGGAGGGGTAGTTGGGCGCATCGATCCCCTCGTAGTTGGCGGCATGCTCCTCCTCGCGCGCAAGCTGCTCGAAAGTCTCCCTCACGAAACCAAAGAAGCCGCTGGGCGAGTCTGAGAACTCGACGTTGCCTCGAAATTTGCCTAGCATGCGCGATATATCGTCGGCGGTTGTGACGCGCATGTTGTGCTCGTAGTGTGCCTCCCCTCCACCATCGCCGCCCCGCAGGATATCTCCCTCGTGCGCATCGTACCAGGCGCGCTCTTGCTTGTCGGAGAGGACTTCGTAGGCAGACTGGACTTCGGCGAAGAGGGCCGTGGCACGTTCGACGTCGCCATAGTTGCGGTCGGGATGGAGCTCGAGTGCCTTCTTGCGGTAGGCCTTCTTGACCCTGGCAGAGTGTCAGGTGCATCTAAAAATCCTGGCTCGTGCAGCATACTCTTCATCAGTGGCGGTTCTCTCCACCCCAAGCAGCTCGTAATAGCTGGTCTTCGCCTCTTCGGCCTGGGCCGCGGAGTGCGCGCTGGACGACTGAGACCCGCCCATGTGGATAGCAGACGTCAGAAATGCGTTGAGCTACTACCATCTGAGAAGCGAAGCGATTTGCAACTAAATGGAGCGACGTCTGGTGGTTGTGTGAGTAAAAGTCTAAAGTGCCTGGTTGACTCGACGTGATTGGCTAGGGGACGAAGGCGCAACAAATGCATCGTGACCCACAAACTCTACCGAACGCCCCTTCTGTCGCAATCCACGGACTGGCCTACCTGACCAGGGCATACAAGAAACCAAGCATGCCTTTCATATTCTCCAAACAATCTCTATTCTTTGGGCCTATTCGCACGCGACGACGTGCCAAACTCTATCGTTAGATTCAGAGCCTGGTACCTGACAAGCGGTGACTGTAGATCGACGTCACGCAGCAGAACTGGCAGGGAACGCCACCAATCCTCAGCCGATAGATTCCCCACGTGCAAATTTTGCCCTCCTCACAGGCTTCGAGACATCATGAAGTTTGGGCACGTCCTCAAGGAACGGCTTAAAAGCGAAGGCTTCCCACCAGAGTGGGTGGACTCAGCTATCTCGTATCAGCAGCTCAAGAAATGCATCCATCGCTTGACAGACGAGCTCGCCCAGGTCGGTCTCGATCCGGTCACGTTGGGCAAACTCCTCAAGCATGTCGAGGACTATAATACAGCCGCCGTCGGCGAGGAAGAAGAACGTCCGTTTGAGTATATCCTTTCCGGGGAGCCGCCTCCAGGACCTCAGGACGGTGATGGCACAGGCTCGGCAAAGAGGCCGCGGAAGCCATTTCACCCGAAACTCCTATTCAAAATAAATGAAGCCACGGGAGCGCTGCACAGTGCCAAACTGGATAAAGAAACCAAGTCTAAACTCCACATGCTTGCCGTTGAAACGGGTCTATCAGATCTTCGAGTTCTTGAAGAGCCGGATTCCAAGTCGATTACTTCAACTGACTCTGCGAATACCACCAACGCCCCCAGCAACGTCCCTTGTGTCAATGAAGGCAATAAGCGACCAGGATACCGCACAGTCGAAGTCCCTTTAACCTCAGACACGGAATTCTTCGCAAAGCTCACCAGTGAACTCTCTGGTCTAGAGAAACTCCAAGAGAAGGAAGAAAAGAAACTACACGGACAGATCGAAGAGCTCGGGAAGCAGATTTCAAAACTCACCAACCCCGACCGACGGGCAAACAAGAAGCTGATAGCCGTCTGGCGGCAAATCTTCCAACTGTACATCGAGAGTGGTATCTTCTTCGGCACCACCGAGACCGACCATACCGCTCACGATGCGGAAAAGGCAGCCGCTAGATTCCAGGCTTTTGTGGATGCACTTGCGGAACAGGGCCTTGTAGCCAAATTCAAGAAGCCAGAGAACACACAAGCTCTGAACATGTTCATTAATATCAACCGCGAGATCCTTCAGGGGCTGCGTTTTGGAGAAATTAATCGAATGGCCATGATGAAGATATTGAAGAGTATGTTCCCCACAGTAGCTGAGTTAAAGCTTGAGCTGATCACACAGTAGAATTCGATAAGAAGACAGCGCTAGGAGTGAAGGCAACGGTTCCCAAGCAAATCGAATACCCTGAATTCTCCGAGCATCTAGCGAAAGCTGTGTGCGCAGAGGTGAACACGCAGATTCTCAGCCATGTCCCTCAGCTTGACGAATACAACTGTCCCATGTGCTTCGACATCGAATGGCGGCCAGTGAAACTCCGTTGTGGGCACGTTTTTTGCATCAGGTGCTTGATTGTAATGCAAACCAACCATCAGCATCGATGTCCACTATGCAGGGAAAAGACTGTCATAGACGCCAATTCAGGTAAGCTTGTTGCTAGAATTTTGGTTGACCCAAGTTTCGTCGCTAATATTAATCAGACAATCTGGATCTGGAATTAGCTGACTTTCTGAAGAAATGGTTCCCGGATGAAGTCAAGGCGAAGCAGAAGTATAACGAACTCATGGCTGGCGTCGACCAATACGGTGAGGTGTACAAAGACAAGTGCGCTATTATGTGATCGTGCGGAGGCTGGTCTGTATTTATTGTGGCAAATTCCGCGTCCGAAGTTTTCGAATTTGGGGGAAGTTCTGGTATGTGGTGAGCTCGGATTGGGATTTCGGGTCACGATGCAAGAGGTCACGCAACCTCTTGTCTTTGTCCGCTCTTCGGAGAACAGCGCATCCCCAGACTAATGACAGGGCTTTGTACGCTGGTACGGAGGGACTTTTGTTGATATACCCATAGCAATTATTCATAGCCAGCATCGAAGCAATGATAATAATTTCCCTCGCATGACCTGATATATTTCACCACTTGTCGGTTCCGCTTCCCTTTTGCAAGTTCCAAATCGACTTTGACAGCACAAATATTAACTGAACGGTATCTTGGACAAACAATTTTACATTCATTGCTGAATGGAAGGGACAGCCAGAAGGACATCGTTTCCTGTAATTATCTGCAGCTTCAGTTCTTTTCCTTGGGGTTTGCTAGCATGCGGTATCTTTTCCAGCATCATCAATAATATACGATGTGAAAGGCACACTTTGAGATTATCTACAACGCAGTTCTTCGTCATCTCTGGGAGCACTGGAACCAGACTAACAAAACTTGCCGGCCAGGGAGGCTGAAAGTCACTGTTCTGCGTCACGCTCAACACGAATATCGAACACTAGAACTAACACATGATTATTGCCCTCTCTCATCATCCCGGGCATCATGTATCAATCGGAAATCTCTCATCCGCTCGCTCAGATTCCGTTTTCGTCACATTCCCATCACTCTAGTAGCCAACAGACCCCTCAACCTCTTAGCCTCTTCGTCCCAACCCAGCCCAGCCGAGCCCAACTCAACCCCTCCAGCTCGTCCAACAGCTGTTTCAAGCATTGGAATCACCTCCCCTCTCCACCAATCCTCGCAGTCACAGATTCCTATTCCGTACCGTACCGTACCTGTCACCCCTCCGCTGAAATTAAGGTTATGCAAATGCTTAATCCGCATCCTCCACTCATTCAGTACTTACTACTCTCCACGAAAAAAGTCCAACACACCAAAAATAGGCCAACCATCAGGTAAGCAGCCTCCTGTTCGGATCAAAGCGATCCCAGCACCAGCAACCAATCGTAGCGCGCGGTGCTTTCTTCAGCCACAAACGCTTGGCCAGTTGAGGGATAGTGGAATCATGAATTCTGCAGCCACAAGATGGAGTTCTCGTAAGCGATTCCGGATGCGGGAAAGGTAGCCTGGGGATGGCGAATGTGGGCGAAGTAATTGGTGAGATGTTTTATGTTTCGCCAGCGGAAATTATCCTGGGAGGTTGAGATGAGGTGCGGGTGGTGGCTGAAGGGCTGAACCTTGCAGGTTCGCTCTTACACATCACTTCCAGCTTTACGCCATAAGATATATTAGAAGCCGATGATGGCGCCATTATTAATTCTGCAGTGCAAGAGAAGTGTAGTCCGTCTTCTTCAACTCAGGTCCCGCTCGCTCTCGCCGCGCAGGGCTGTGCTGCACTGCGTGCTGTATATTCTTTTTTCATTTCCTTTCACTTTTCCCATACACCCATTTTGTGGCAACGATTAAATTCAAATCAGTCTTTACCGACAGACCCAGTTTGCTTACTACATTCGAGTATCATAAATATCATAAGAGACGGATAGGGCAGGCAAAATGGCAGCATCCTACTACCGCACTCCGGCCGAGCAACATCTTCTCTCTCCAGGTCTCTCGTCAACCGGTCTTCCTTCTCCTAGTTTTCCTTCCCCAGGGTATTCCTCAGGACAGTCATCACCTTTGAAACCGCTGCATTTAGTACCCAGCATGGATGACATGGAAGAGATCAAAGCTATGCGACGGGAAGATGAGGTAAATTCTATCCTCCCATCTCCTCCTCTCCCTACCCCATCAAAAGCAGACAGAAGAGGAGAGGAGAGTCAAAGTCCCCTCTATTCTAACAATCTCACGCAGCGTCTCAAATCCCACATCCGCCGCCTGCGCCTCATATCCCGCATCATCGCGTTCTGCATCTCCATCGCCATCTTCATCCCCATAACCCTTACCCTCCACAAATTCATCACCACAAAGGACGTATACCGCGACGTTTCCCATCCGGACGGCAGTACTGTCTCCCGCACCGCCTGGGCCAAAGACTCCAAAGTCTGGCCGACATACATGTACTTCGCCGTCGCGGCCTTCACCGTGCTCCTCCACTTCATCATCCTTCTCTCCTACAAATTCGGCGTGGGCCATGCGAATAAAGCAGCGACGGTGGCGACTACTTTTAGTTGGGTTGTCATGATTGGGAATTTGGTGGTTTGGAGCGTGGCTGCGGGATTGTATAGGAGGGAAAAGGATTTGGGTGGGAAGAGCAATGATCTTTGGGGTTGGACGTGTAGTGCGGCTGCGGAAGCGATTCAGAAGGAGTTTGTAGGCGAGGTCAATTTCGATAAGTTTTGTAATGTGCAGGTATGCTCTCCCCCAACTTTCACCCAATATCACCGCAATGTGCGAGGTAGTAGTGGTCGTGACTAATATTCCAATAGTCCGTGTCCTGGTATGCAGGCTTAGTTCAAGTCGGCGCCGCTTTTTTGACGATATTTATCTACGTCTTGGTGTGGCGGCGACGGCAGACGAAGAAGAAGGTGAAGCGACAGACGAGAATGCTGACGGGTTTTGAGCGGGTGAGACGGTGAAAAATCAACTGTGGAGCCATAGCTCTATGATTGGTGGAGTTCGTTAAAATGGTTATCTCCCTGTTCAGGATTTTTGACAGGATGTGTAGTGAATGACTGACATTCTTCTCAAACTCTTGCGCCTGGATAGTGCTCGTGGTGGAACAAGGTGGCTGACTGCTTCTCAATCTGTGTTGCTCTTGCCCACTTACTATAAGAGCAGCCAGCTAAATACCTCTGCTTTAAATCACTAAATCCTCACAGACAATAGCATTACCACCATGGCTTGGGCCAGGCGCCACTTCGGAGCCCCTGAAAAGAGGGAGAATGACAGCGCGAACAGATTTCAGCTGCTACTTTTACATTGAATCACACCGCTCCAGTAGCGTCTTAGTTATGTTGTAGTAATACCCTAGAGAAAAAGTTAAATACTTGCAAACTGAACTTCTTAACAGTTTTGCTTGTAGAGGTGAAATGCATTCCCATTCACTCACACAAATAAAATATCCCTCCCTGGGTCGGACACCCCTAAGACTGGACAAGTTCATCATTCTGGCACATTAAGCCTTCCACTCGTGAGTCAATTAAGTTATGGTCTTCATACAAATATTCTTCAGCTGCTCGTCCTCAGGAAATTAGTGTGCGGTAAGAAAATTACCAGAGTCTTAGTTATGCTGGTGATCATTCTAACAAGGAGGTTGAGAGACGCTCCGGTCACCCCTGCTCTACTATACTAAATTTCATCAGCTAACGCTTAGTCTCTTCTAACGCACGGAAATTGCGGTCCAGTAGCACCACAATATAAAGCTTTAGAGCTGCATATACACTAAATCTAGGTCTAAATATTTAATAGATTAGAAAGTTAATAATACTAATTAATTTAAGCTTACTATCTAGTTTCAGAAGTCTATAGAAAGCCTAATAGCTCTACCTCTATATAGCTATTACTTTATAAGTAGTAGCCTATGCTTATAAGGCTATTTAATATAGCGTATGGTTAAGCGTCCTCTTTTACTAGTTATTAAGTAGTTATTTGTTTTTTTACTACTTTTTATAGAAGCTCTTAATGCTTTACTACCATTTTAATAGCTTAATTTTTTAGTTTTAGTAATTTAAAATCTATAAGCGCGTCCTTACTACAATCTATATTAGTAGAGTTGCTCTAAGGTTAAAAATTAGCAAAACCTAGTGTATGCATGCTCTAGGTGATTGTAAGGCATATATACTGTTCTGTACGCAAAAATCAACTGTTGGTTGGTTTTTCGCACCTTTTTAGTTGTGATGACGGAGTGATGCAGAGCCCTGTTCTTACAGCGAGACTGTGCGTCAGCTGATGAAATTTAGTAACTGCTAGCTTGCCTATGCAATTTAAAGGTATATTACAAAGGTTCTAAGAAAGAATATGACTCCAAGTTTTAAATATAGTATTTAATTAGACTTTTAGCATTCTGAGCCTAACTAAGCGGAAGTGGATTTTTGTTAGTGCTATACGTCTTGGCATACAGATTAAGGGTAGAATGGTTTGCTTACATTATACTGTAACCCCTACAACAGTAGTTAGGTTTAGTCTGATTAGCAAGCTGACTGAGGTCGATGGCGTGCCCCTCCAAGCACACTTCAACCATATACTCGTGTCAGCAGCCCTACAGCGATGATATGAAGATATCCCAAACCACGAAACACCAATAACTAGCAGGATTACATGATCCTTGATACTTGATCCTAGTCCATTTTGTGGAGCGAAAATGTGTAAAGATTGCGGTCTGCCCCCATTTCGATACCAAGATTTACGACTCGAGCCAAAGAGTTTCTCTATCCGGCTTCTCAAGCTGCACCCTGCAGGGGTCCAAGGCGCAGATATCGTAATCGAATTAGTGACGACTGACTCCGACAATCCCTCCTACGATGCTTTATCTTGGTGTTGGGGCAAAGGCGGCCCGACGAGGCCAGTCCGCGCCAGAAGCGAAGGCGGGGATCATTGTCTAAGGATTTCAACTAATCTTGAGAGCGCTCTGCGACACCTTCGTCTCCCTGATAGATACCGAATCCTGTGGATCGATGCTATATGCATTGATCAGTCTAACTCCATGGAGAAAAACAGACAAGTTCCAATGATGTCGGACATATATGGTAAAGCCCAACGAGTTTGCGTCTGGCTCGGAGATAGCGACGACAGTAGCGTAAAAGCCATCAATTTCGTCAAAGACCATGTCCTTGATCTACACGACTTCGACAACATCTGCCAAGACGATAAGTACGCGGAAGGGTGGATTGCTCTGGTCCAATTTATGGAGCGGCCTTGGGTAAGTAGGACAGTTTAAGTCCACTCTGCTGGATAGGAGCTAACATGAAATGTAAAGTTTAGTCGGCGGTGGGTAATTCAGGAAATAGCTCTGGCAAATCAAACTACCGCAACCATTATCTGTGGACAGGATACTATATCCTGGGCAGAATTCTCGGAGGCAGTGTCTTTGTTCGACGGAGCTCTGACTGGCCCTCTGGATCTGTCCAAGTTAAAATTTCCCCATCGTAACAATGTCTCCTATAGCACTCGCTATGCACCAGCGCTAGGCGCTATTCGTCTCGTCAAGGCTACAAACGAATTGTTTCGGACCTCTTTTTACGACGGGATCCCTTCCGCTCTGCGAAGTTTGGAATATCTTGTTTCCACTTTTACCATGTACGAGAGACATCGGAACCGCGAGATGTGATATACTCTCTCTTGTCGATTTCCAATGACGCATTCAGATTCGATTTAATTCCAGACGGCGTTAATATGGAGGGTCAGGCGACTTTGTTTGATCACCTTCCATTAGTACGGAACGTCATGAAGACCTGGATGGAAAGTCATATTGTTCGCCGTGCATTCCGGGTAGACTACGATGCGCCGATCATCGAAGTCTACAAGCAGTTTATATCTTTCTCCGTCTCTAAAGCTCAGCCATCACGAGCTCTAGACATTATTTGCCGCCCGTGGGCCCCAGAGCTACGAAATGTGGAGTTTCCGTCGTGGATTTCAACACTAGCAAACGCTACGTACAAGCTCGTCGATCAAAATGCACTTGGGCAACGACTAGTAAGACGTAACCCAGATTCGCTTGTTGGAAATCCGGATAGCGCAACCTACAATGCTTCACGGAATATCGGCCCACCAAAGTCGGTAATGGTATTCCCATACTGGAAATCTGTGGATCGCAGTATGTTTTTGCGCGGCTTTGTCCTCGATGAGGTACGAAATTCAACATATCCCTCTCAGTTAGGTCATATTCCTCTCGAGTGGGTGGCCATGGGCAACTGGGACCCCAAATATGATGAACCACCTGAGGAGTTTTGGAGAACCCTTGTTGCCGACAGAAGCCCAAGAGGCAGAGACCCCTTGCTTTTTTACCCTCGAGCTTGTAGAGAAGTCTTTCAACACTCGATTGATGATACTCTCGACACATCAATGCTCATTAATCATGGAAGTTCTATCATTGCAGACTTCTTGAAGCGGGTCCAAGCAGTGATTTGGAACCGAAGGCTCATGCGAACGAAACGTTCATGGCTTGGTCTGGCTCCTAAAGCAACACGTGATGGCGATCTAGTTTGTATTCTTTACGGTTGCAGTGTCCCCGTGATTCTACGAAAAGTTCAGAAGACTTCAAGCGAAATCGAGCTAGAGTTAAAAGATCACGAGACACGAAAGGCGGACGCAGTATTATATATCGCTCGTAAGCTTGCTGACTATGCACGGAGAAGGCGAGCTGCTCGGGAGGAATATAGTACAAGTATCTCAAGCGACAAATCGAGGACTCATGATTCTCAGGGAGTTAAGGAACGAAGTCCGCAAATGTATCAACCAGATGAGGAAAAGAAAGTTGCTCAATCGTCTTCGGAACACAATCTAGACTCAAATCCAAGCTCGGATAGACATGGCAAAAGACGGTATAGTGAAAGCAACACTAATGGCCACGACTCAAAACGCTTTGCCTCCGATCATCAGCAATTGAAGTATGTTGGGCCAGATGCATCTGACGTGTACTATATCCTTATTGGAGAATGCTACGTACATGGCATGATGAATGGTGAGGCAAGGATATTCCGAAGCAGATATAATGCGGGCAAGCCAATTTCTGAGCGCATTATGGCCGAGACTTTTGAGCTGAGATGACAGCCCTACTGCTGTAGAATTTGCTAATATAGAAGGTATAATGATAAGACGACTACGATGACATCTTAAGCTCCTCAAAGTTGCAAAGTCATAAGTTTGTGCTGCTAGTCGTCGGTAATTGTGCTTTTGAACTAGCGCTATCTGTCGACAAATGATTGAGATAATGTTCTAGCTTCGACTTATCAAGTTAACTAGACCATGTACCGCACCCCTAGTCAGCACGTTGCGTACTCTGAATCTAGATATACCGACTCTATAATCAGCTTAGAGTGGCTTAAGGGTGTATTTGATCCCTAAATGAAAGCAAAGGCTAAAGCGAAGCTAAGGATTCTAATATGGGACGGCTTCGGGACGCATGAGACCCTTGAAATCTTGGAGTTCTGTTTTGAAAACAACATCATCCTATGTCGTCTTCCCTCTCACACACCCCACAAGCGACAATCTTGTGATATTGCTGTGTTTGCTCCACTGAAGGCAGCCTATCGTGACCAGGCTGAAAGAATAGAGCGAGGAGGTATAGGTACAATTGGCAAGCAGCATTTCACCTATCTATATAGACCAACACGGGAAAGAGCTCTCACCGGGAGAAACATCCTCGCAGGGTGGAAAGGAAGCTGTTTGCATCCCTCAAATCCCGACAAAGTATTCACGGATATCCCAACGCCAATTACGTAGCGAACCATTACAACTATCAAGACTTGCGAAATTGACCTTTGTCCGCAAGATGAAGTACTCCAGACTCTAGTAACACCAGGGGCTCTTACATTATTGTGTAACTTGATCAAACAGGATCTCCATGCAAAAGATGAGATGAGCAAACAGTGCCTACAGAGGTATGCATAGAAGTTCGCCAGTGCTGCCCAAACATGCTTTGCCGAACGTGCCCTCCAGCGAGAGCAAAGTTGTTTCCTGAGGAAAGTGAACAACGAGGCCAAAGGTCGCCGATCTACGAAATCACTAGTCCTAGGGACGGCGAAAGTTATGAGCTATGAGGATCTTGAGGAGGTATGAGTGAAGTGTGCTGCGAAAGACGCAGCCAAAGCGAAGGGAAAAGGAAAGCGTGGTCGGAAGCGCAAGAGTTCTGTGCCAGAGGTAGATGCACCTGGGCCAACGGCCAAATGGCTCGGACGAGAAAAGCGCCAGAGCCGATGAGGTTCCAGTGATGCGGATGGTATGAAATTGTCGCACGACAAATGGAAACACGGTTCTCTCTTTGCTTTAATTTAGGTCGGTTTATCGAGGCAGGAGTGATCGCGCAAAAATCACGACTTGTTACTGTATAGTAGGTGTAGTTAGTTGTATGTCGCATTTTAGGTGCAACGGAAGAAGATTAGCTATGATTCACTTGCCAGTTACCAGTGAGAACTCTATGGGTGCTGATGCCAGGCTTGTCTGTATTTCGAGAAATCACTAGCATCTTCGCAATAGCAGGTATATTGAGGACTCCGAAGCAGCGACTAGTCACTCGTGCCACAACCGATTTCATATACTTCCCCTTTGCGATACTACAACCCATGCTCGGGGCGGAACTCGATGGGTGGGCGACAGCAATGCGCCATTTGACCACCGTGATGACGTTTATATATCGGACAGGAATTCTGCTCAGAGGAACATGTCGTATGGCGAAGTCAACACACTGTAAATCATTGGGAGCGCAACTTACCGCAAACGCTGGGATACTGACACTAAAACGGCGAGGAACCAAGTGAATCTATTTGCAGTAACGGAGGTCTCCAAGCTCTAGCCACCTACACTCCTTTGACCCACTGCTGCCTAGCTACGCCATCTGCTGCGGCCCAGAGCTATTGCTGGCCTTAAGTCACATGACAGGCTCACCTAGTACTATATAAACCTGCAATGTCCATCCCTGGGTCGCGCAAAACCCACCGTGCCGCAAAATACGAGGGGTACTTTGACTTCAAGCGACTGTAACTCTGCGCACACGTCAAGCTTCACTAAATTTATGTATTAACAATGTACTATAGCCATTTTTAAAGATATAGTGCACCTTCTACCTATAAATTACATTTGCATCATTACATTCACACATGATCTGTAGAGAGCCTCCTTCTACAGTGTAACAGATTCTTTTCCCTTATAGCACCACTACTAAGCTCTTACTACTCTATAATACTTATATATAGTCTTATTAAGTCTTAGAACCTTGCTGTGATGCTAAGAAGCTCTTATTAGCCTTGTGGCTCCTATTGCACACAAATTTATGCAAGGCTAGTATCCTAGTTAGTACCTCTAATTAAACTAACTACTAATTTCAGCTAGTGCAATTATTGTAGCATAATTTATTTATAATAACTACTTAGCCTATAGCTATACAGAGCCTTAGCGGCTTAGCAGCTGGGCTAACCTTAGCTAGAGTTGGCAACAATTAAGTCAACTTAATAACTTAACTTAATTAACTTAATTAATAGCTGTTAATTAAGTTAATTAGCTAGGCAAAATTTACTAAGTTAATTAAG